AGAGCATCGACCACGAGTTGACCAAGCGTTATCATACGCTTGAGCTGTCATATAACGGAAGGATCAAGAAGCTCGAGCGTCTCGAAGAGGCTTTGAAAAGTATGCGATCTGGCCGCGGACAGTCGAGCTCTACGCCGGAGATATCTAAATTGCGTGGCGAGAATCGTCTGCTGAAGGCTGAACTCAATCTGCTTCAATCCAACTCGCGAGGACAGGGTCCAGCGTCTGCAGCTGCGGCTGCAGTCATGACATCAGGACCCCGGTCCCCTTCTTTGGTGTCAACGGCAGAGTCGGAACGATCCTTGGGGCGTTCTAGCTCCACGAGTGGCACTGAAAGACCTCGCCCCGAGAAAGGCATCGCTCGCGGTGGTACGGGACTTCCACAACCCTCTCACTCTTCCAGCAGCACCTTGACCAACAACAATGCTGGAACGATGATACCGCGCACGCGCAGCTCGCACAGTGGCTGGGATGGTGGCGACGAGAAATGGATTCACAGGCTGCATGAGCTAGAGAGGCGACTCAAATCTGAGCGTGAGGGTCGCCTCCTGGACCGCAGTGGCGCTCGCAAGCGACTTGAGGAGCGCGATGCTGAGAACCAGAAACTTCGAGATCAGCTTAGCCGGGAACGTACACGGCGCGGACCTTCAGGGACCATTACAGATGGCAGTCGGAATCGCCCTCCTGTCTCAGATGAGGCCCCCAGCTCCAGTGAAGGGGAGGGCATCACCGTCGACATCGAAGTTTGATTTTTCTGCGGTTTTCTCCTATACTATATATACCCACCGTCTGTTTGTTTCGCTTCCATACACTTATCGCATATGCTTGTAATGATCATTCACGAAGGTCATAAGACGAGGAAAGGCGTTCGATTTAATTTTATTCGGGGTTACAATATCTTGTTTGAGGGATTGTCAGGTTTTTTTGTGCATCTTCTTTTTCTTTTTGTTCCGTTGTACTTTATACACGTCCATATGTTTTATCGAGACGAATCCAACCTTTGTATGATACAATATCTACCGCAACGATACCTTGAGCGAGAAATCCACTATCCCTGTACCCTGATGGATCGAGCTGGTAGACAAGATATCGATATCGACACAGACATACGCCGGCGCATTCTCTTCCGTCAACCCACCACTCACCTCAATTAAAAAAGCCTTCTTCGAAGCCCATTCGCGCTTCAGTTGCGCCGCAGCCTCGCGCACTCCCTCGGGTGTAAAGTTATCCAACATAATAATATCAGCCCCAGCCCCAATCGCCGCATTAGCCTCCTCCACACTCCGACACTCGACCTCAACCTTGGTCGAAAACCCGCCAGTAGCCTTGGCCGCCTGCACAGCGCGCGGGATGGCCGCCGCAATAGACTCAATCGACGACGGGTCCGCAACGCCGCCATCTGCCGCAGCCCGGTTGTTGGCACAAGCCCAAACGTGGTTATCCTTTAGCATGGTCATTGAGCTCAAATCATGGCGATGCGGGTCGGCGCCACCAGCGAGCATCCCGTATTTCTCAACCAGCCGGAATCCAGGCGTTGTTTTCCTTGTACCGGCCAGTATACCGTTCCATCCCTGCGCACGCAACGCAGCGAGCATGGAGGCGCTCTTGCTGGCGATTCCTGAGCAACGGGCGAGGATGTTTAGCGCTACGCGCTCACCGAGTAGGATCTTGCGGATGGGGCCGCGGACGGTTGCGCAGTGTTGGATTGGGTTGATTGCTTCGCCTTCTTTGATGTGCCATTCGATTCTGGATAGGTTAGAGAGGTAGGGATTGTATTTGGGGGGTGGGAGTAGATGGAGTGGCTTACGTGCAGCCTAGTTGCGAGAAGACCTCGTCAAAGAATGGTACACCTGCGACGATGCCCTTGGATTGATCAGTTACTGTTCTTTCCGGATAGGAATTCCCTAGAGGCTCAGATCGCTTTACCTTGCTCTTTCCTAGTAGTCGGGCCTCGCCCTCTGACTCGCCAACGACAAAGCCGCCATAGTCCAGGCTAGGGCAGTCCTCTTCCAGCCAGGATGTTATGAAGCGCTTGTAGTTGCCGGGTAGTAGATGGCGCAGATCTCCGTGGGTCGAGGCCATTGTGAGTCGAGAAACAAATGAATTCAAGTTGGTGTTGATCTGCGAGTTCAAAGTTCCCCGCGCGGGGGTGAAGAGGCTCGGGTTGGCCCGGTACCTTTCCGATTGTGGCCGGAGGTCACGTGGGATTATACACGCATATAGTTACATTAACTAACTAGTTATCGTATCTTATTAGGATTACGTCATATAAAATGGGTAGTTAACTAGTTACCTCGTTTTTCAGAAGCCATATATAATAGTATGGCCCGGTTCTTGAGATTAAACAACTATCACACCAAGATACAATAGTATAAGCAAAGCCTAAATCATATATCTGTAACTCGAGTAAGTGGGTAGATAAAATAACGGGAATACGGCACACTAAGATCGTCACAACAGAAGATCGTTCTCGAAGGGAGTGGGTCAAGGGGAACTGCTTTCGAAGTATAAGAGATTCACATGTATAAAACAGAAAAGAATCCCGAGAAACACGGGCCGAGGATCCGGAACATTTTACGGAGACTTGGTTTCGGCAATTTTTTTTATTGTATGTTTATACCGGCGGCAATGCCGAGGCTCACCCGGAGATAAATCAAATATACAGAGCGTCTCCACTGTAAAAAAAAAAAAAAACACCTCTCAGGTACACTTATGTATACTCTTGATATTTGATATTCAATCCTTCCAGGCCTTGTAAACATTCTTGCAACCAAAGATCTCACCCTTCTTCAGTAGGACCATGGACCGCCATTCAGGCTCGTTAATTGCATTCACGAACCGGCTAGGTTCCACACAGAATCCAGCTCCCTCATGGTGCGCCGGCGCACCATTGATCGACGGCACATCAACGTACTTGCCAGTATAGAACTGGAATGCAGGCTCGGTGCTGTGCACCTCGAGATGCAGGCCCGTGCTTGCATTGCTAAACTGCGCCAAGCGGCGCAGAGGCAAGCCACGAGTGTCCAGTGGAATCTTGCTGGGATCGGTCTCCAACACAAAGACGTCGTCGATGTGTGCGCCCGTTGCGGTGAGCGTGAACGGGGTTGTCACGTCGCGTGGGAACTTGGCGATCCCACCTGAGGGGATACCCGTGCTATCGAGAGGGAGATAATCGCCTGTAGCAAGCTGGGCAGTGGTGCCCGAAATATCGGGGCCATCGCCGATGTTGAAGTAGCTGTGGGAGAGGTGGGGGGTCAGCGGGGAATAGCTCTAATTTTGAGAATGTCGTCATCAACTTTGAAGGGGCTTAGGATCTTTTACCTGTGGTTGGTGAGGTTGACGACAGTCTCCTCGCATTCATTGCCAATGAATTCGACCTCGTACTCAGCCGTCAGCACGGTCTTGGCGTCATCCTCCTTGCTGGCGGTGTACCACACGCGCACCTCGACGGTACCGGGATACCCCTCCTCACCATCTCTGCAGAGGTACTTGAACAGCAAGGCATCGTGACCATTGCGGTGGACGGTGTGTGGACCGTCAAAGATACGCTTACCCCAGCCCTTCTCACCACCATGCAGGGCATTAGGGCCATTGTTCTGGGTCAGTTGAATCTTCTGTCCATTCAGATCCTGAATCAGACCATCCTTGATGCGATTTGCAACGCGACCGATGGTGGCACCGTAATGCGGGGAGTTGTGCTTGACATAATCCTCTTGCGTGGGGAAACCCAACACGATATTCTTGCCGCCGACACGGAACTCTTGGATAATGGCGCCCAAAGGCAGGAAGGTGAATGCAGCTAGTTCGGGGGCGGGCATGATAGGCTTTGAGGGGAGGGGGGTTTCTAAGGTAGATGGAGGAAGGAAAGTTCACTCTTTTTTTAAGGTCGACATGACGTTTGCAACCCCGCAATCTACGGGATGAATCACCGAATATGACACCTTTCAATTATTTTTTTGTTTAGCATAAATGAGATTCAAGGCGTTAAGAGGTGTATAGCCTTGAGAGAGGGTCCTGATTTTGAAGGTGATTAGGCTAAAAGAGAGAGCTTTAGATTAACCGGTTGGATTAGGGTAAACCTCAACTCGTGACTTAATCCATATCAATCCCTCAGTTCAAAACTATATCAAAAGGTAAAAAAAAAAAAAAAAAAAGGTATGTATCAAATGGTATTCTCTCAAGTACTTTACACAATATAACGCATCAAGCGGACATAGCACGTCGGCGTTAGGATCAGCCAGCATCCGGTCGGAGGGAACGAGGTCCGGCGTCCGAAGGACTCTATACCCCGGACTCGTGTCGGCCCATATGAAAAAAGCAAAAAAGAAAAAGGAGACATGCCAAGTGTCCATTAATAATGGGCAGGTATTCCGTACTCCGTACATTGGCATTGGATTGGCATTGGATTGGCATTATAGGCAGGCATTTTCTTATATGGCCCCAAAGCATGGGGCTGTGTTTATACGACACTTGGCTATCAATATACAGTAAACATTTCGAATATAATATTTTCACATCGGAGCATTTGACCCATAAAGGGAAAATCGGGATTTCGGCGACTTATAAAGCAAGGTCTCACATAAGCAAAAATGGCTCAAGTGGAGATCAAAAGTAAGCCGCTGAGTCAGTTCATCAATAATCAGAAAAAAAACAGTTCAATAATCAAAAAAAAAAAAAAAAAAAATATTCCCGAATTATTCCCGTGTTAGTCAAGGTGGATCACGGCATTTTATTCCGTTGATCTCTTGGATCTTTTGGATCTTCTAGAATGTAACTTTCAATTGTAAATTAGACATGAAACTCCTTGTAGAAACCCATAAAAACCAATACTCCAAATCCCCGAACCCCCGAACCCCCGAAACCCGGTTTACTGTACAGCGGTAATTATCCCAATTGCGAGATCTGGTGGGGGAAAATAGCCCCAAAGAGAAAAAGAAAACACATGTATATAGTATACATGTATCACGTCATACGGCGTTAAAAGTCCCTAGAACGAAGGCTCAAATCGAGGTGATCTCCGTAGGATTCGGATTGAGGAACTGGTTGAAATCCTCATAATCGTTCTTGGAATCAAGATAGGACCCTTGAGACAGGCAATTCATGGGTACCTGGCGATTGAACATTGGTGACAGCTGTTGGTCGTCAAAGGGCATAGTGGAGTAATCCGTAGACATCAAATCCATCTCATCGAAAGGATTGAACCCGTTACTAGGCCACTGTTGTGGACCCTGCAGCGCCAGGGGGTTGACCACACCTTGCATAGACATGGGTTGGGCGAATTGCGGGGTGTTGGGCATCTGAGGCTCGGTCTTGATAGGCGCACGTGTCGTGGGACTATACGTTGGGGGCGTAGGCGGCATGTGCTGGGAGAACGCATCGGACGAGAAGCGCGAGCGGGGGGCGGGGGACTGGGGGCTATCGGAGCCACCGTCGGAGGATTCCTGGCGTTGCATGCCGGCGTTGGTGTGCCAGAGATCCTGCTGTAAGGCTTCGGGGTTCTCTTCGAAGCGCTCGCCCTTGGAGCCATCGAGGGCGCCAAGCCGCATGAGCAGGTCGTGGGTGAGTGGATGACCGTTGGGTTCGAGCTTCAACCGGTCCCCAGGCCAGCCTTCGCCTTCGATGTCGCGTCGGTATAGTTCCTGCAGGCCATGGACCAACCAGGATTGTTGCTGTTCCAGCATCTCAACGTATCTATATACGAATATATAGTTAGTATCTTCTTTTTAGGGTTTGAATATAGCCCTGTAGCTTACCCCTTCGGGTATACTTTATCATGCGCCTTTTTACGCTCTCCAAAGACACAGATGGCATTATCTGCCCGACAACGGGAACAAGGGCTGGACCCGTCACACTGTTCGGGGTCAGTGTCTGTTTTTTTTGGGGGGGGGGAAGGCCTTGGGGGTTTACATACCTTGGATTTCTTCAAACGACACCGATCACATGCTTTGCATACTCTTTTACGGACATTGCTATCCGAATGCGAGTGTTCCGAAGTTGGTGTTGATTGGCGAGCTGCCATTGTGAAGTCCAAGGTATGAAAGAAGAGAGAGAGAAGAGAGAGAGAAGAGGGGAATTTGAACCTATACTTCGGGAACGACGTCAAAGGTCAATGATATAATGGTAATCATTAACAGGTAATTTGAGATAAAGTAGACGGATGCAGTAAACCCTTGGGACTAAAAATTGAAAGATTAGAGAGGTCACTCCGTCATGGGCAGATGTGCCATATTATATTCCCAAAAAAAAAGAGGGGGGGGATTTGTCTGATTTGGGATATTTTTTTATTTTATTTTATAGAAGTCATGGACGTCTATCGGATCGAAGATCATAAATTACAGGACACTGCAAATACGGACCAAAATTACAGGATCAATCGGCATCTGCTGACGGAGCTCGGAGACTTTAAACTTGAGTGGACTACAATTCCGCCTATGATATTGGATTTTTTTTAGCATCTCAGGATATCCTATAGGATATTATACATATAAGGTATCAGAATAATGGAATATAATGAATTATCTTGGCAGCATAACCCTAGTATAAAAAAGAATTCGGCCCATGCCGAATTGCACCCGTCATGATCATATACTCCCGAGAATGTAATCCGTTACAAATATCTTACATTATTAGGTGATTCATGACCTCCAAAATCCATGACGTGACCATTCCCCAATAAGGAACTATGGCCCTTTTCATATTTTCAGACGACTTTTTAAATGGGCTAGACCACTCTGGAATATCTTTCTCTTCTCTTCCTATTTCCTCAAAAGCTTAGCTCAATACTTACTGCATTTGGAAATATGCGACGCACCTATATCCAATATCCAACCCATGGGAACTCGATCGGCTCCCGGGTATGACTTCGTGCGGACACACATTCCGACTCTTTTTTTTTTTTAGATGTTCCCCGACTATGCCCCAAAAAAATATGACGATATAGAACAATCTACAATGTACAATCTCAGTGAAAACACCAGAGCTGACAGACGCAACACCCTTGATAGCACTTGTGACCTGGTTCCTGCTTTTCGGTTCCGTGCTGAATTTCACTCTGTTCCTGACCTTGTTGGCCGTTTGGTTCCGTTGTCTTCCGTTTGATAAACTCCCATGCGCGACTTCGACGGGAAGGGTCTGCAATTGCGTCTGCAGTGGCTGGTAGGGTATGCAATGGTTCGCACTGGGGAGGAAGCGCACCCCGTTGGTTTTGGAGTCGGGCTTCGACAACGCGACGGACTAAATCTATCCAGTCATTAGCTCTACTCTCTTTGCGGACGGACAAAACGTCATACGGGCAAAGGTCTCCTCAATGTTGACCGTCTCACGAGCACTGGTCTCCATAAACCCGCAGCCGTGTTTGCGCGCATACACGAGTCCGTCGCGGGATGTCACCACGCGATCATCCTTGAGATCGCATTTGTTGCCCGCGACAATCTTAACTGGTGGCAGACCCAGTTGGCCTACATCCACTACACCTCCAGTCTTCTTTCCCAATTCGCGCAGTCGCTGGTTATCTTCGACACGTTGTTCCGCCTCCAGATGGATCATGTCCATGAAATGATCCAGCGTTTCCAGACTCGAGGGCTTGGTAATATCGTAAACCAGGAGGAAGGCGTCCGAGTTCAGGGTCGAGGCAGTCCATAACCCACGGTACTCCTCCTGACCAGCAGTATCGGTAATGGAAAGGACGTAGGGCTGGCCGTCAACGTTGCGGGTGACGGTATAGGAATCCTCTAGGCCCGATTAGAATTGAGAATGGCATTGGAAATAGGCGCGCAAATTACCGATAGTTGGATCATATCTAAAGAAAAATGAGAGATGAGCGTAATTATCCAAGGTTCAAGGGGGAAAAGGATCTCACTCGTGAACCCATTGACTACGGACCAGCCGCATGGTGATGGAGGATTTGCCTGAGTCCCGATCAGATCCCGATCGCGTGAAATCCGAGAATGTGGCACCGAATCACGGAGGTAGGAGATTCCCAGGAGATAATAAAAGTAACATACCGCATCCACCATCTCCACAGATGGTGATTGAGATCTTGTCCATGGCCGGACATTTGGAGAGGGAAGAGGGAGACAGAGGGGAGATTAATCTAAAGATATATAGGGGGTTTGATCAATATAGCCTACTCTATACTCGTATACTCCATGATTATTACTATCTCTCTCTCTCTCTCTCTCTCTTAATACCTAGTTAGGTATATTATTATTGATAACGTCCTATAATTATCATTGTGATATATCTCATGGGGCATTGAGTTTAACACGGGACATTTCTAACATTACTATACTATCATGAAATAAATAAAATGTATACACTATATACAAGATATACAATTCGAATAGAAGATAATAGAATGTATAGAGTAGATACAAACCAGACCAAACATGGGGGAATGTCAACTCTCCTGAAGAGTGGCGAGAACGGAGTACTTCTCCACATACACATTTTGTACTTTGGAGAGATCAACTCTTCTCTATTTCTCTTCTAACACATTGACTCTTACATCCACTCTATTTTGACCGAAATTCTCTCTGCCTAGGTCATCCCGCGATGGAACTCTATCTGGTGATATTTTAATCAATATGGACCACTTCACCTTGGAATTCGATGATGAACAGGGTCCCTCACAACCCTCCAACCCGTCATATCTGCCCGCCTTTTCCAATGGCAATTATGCCTTCGGCGCAATGCTACCCCAGGATGCAGATCTGCCTCTCCAGAACTTTGCACGATCACAGCCTTCGGATCTGGAACGGACTAATGTCATTCCCACATATGGGATTCCGAGCTCGGGGATCTCAATGCCATTGAATATGGACGCCACCGATGCCTATGCCTACGATATCCCAACCACATACCTGGCTACCACCATAGGGATGCCTCCGCATATCGATCATTCGCAGATTCAACCTACATACCCGTCCTTCCCCTCCATGACTGTACCCCGTTATTCTCAGCAGCTCGCCCCGCCAGCCCGCAAGGAACTATACGATAGCACAGACTCGACAGCCAATTTCGAGGATTCCGACTTTTCAGATCGCACCAGCGACTGGTCACACTTGCACCCGCAGGTGCAGGTACAGCGGGCTCAGCAACAACCTCCGGAGCGCCGCCTGCCTGCCCAGCCGTACCGTGTATCGCAACCGGTGCCTATTCAGCCCAAGAAGCCCGTGACTGCCAAAAGTGAGTTGTGCCCGTGCCTGGCACTCCCCCACTGGCTCTGGCCCATGGTATAACTGACGCGGGAACGCGCAAAATCCAGAGGATATCTCGCCGGGGCTCGAAAAGCCCGAGATTGGCAAAACTGAACATACCGGCATCTATTCGACGACTGGCTTTGACGTGCTGGGGGCGTTGGTATGTCTTTTACCGCATATGGAGAGTCTCCGACGAGATACTAACCTTATTCAGGGCCGTGTGGCTATGCGGCCCAACCCTAAAATTAACATTGGTGCGGTTGATCTCTCATGCGCCTTTGTGATGTGTGATATCTTGGCCGAGGATCATCCAATCGTCTATGTATCAGAGGCCTTTGAACGATTGACTGGGTATACTAAAGATGAAATCGTTGGCCGGAACTGTCGATTCCTCCAAGCGCCCGACGGGAAGATCAACGCCGGCGCCAAACGCACCTTTGTGGATGGACAGACTGTCTATCGGCTCCGGTCAACCATCGACGATCGCAGTGAGATCCAGGCCAGTATAATCAATTACCGCAAGGGTGGACAACCCTTCATGAACCTCATCACGATGATCCCCATCCAGTGGGATTCGGATGTGTGTCGGTACTACGTCGGGTTCCAGGTCGATCTGGTTGAAAAGCCCGATGCGGTGAGGGGAAGAAATCCTGGTATGTTTTACTGCATTCTTCGTGGCGAGTGTCGACTAACATTGCACAGATGGTAATTATAACATTAACTATCGGCGCGATCAGCTGCCACAGTATATAGTCCCACCACCAGATTTATACTCCTCACGACCAGACCTCGGGTTACGATATGGCCATGACGAAGTGACTACCATTCTCAACGCCATGGGTGCGGCTGGCAATGATGTCAACCGCCACTACCTGGATCGCATCCTGGTTGAGAACACCGACGATGTCATCCATGTGTTTTCATTCAACGGTGAATTCTTGTATCTGTCGCCCTCTTGCCACAAGATTCTAGAGTACGACCCGGTTGAGCTGATCGGCAAACCCCTATCCACCATCTGCCATCCCAGTGATATTGGTCCTGTAATCCGCGACTTGCGGGCGAGCACGACAACAGCTCCAATGAGTGTTGTGTATCGTATCAGACAAAAGCACAGAGGATATATGTGGTTCGAGAGTCACGGCGCGTGGCACATCAGCCCGACCCAGGGCCGGAGGCATCTTGTCATGACCGGCCGCCCACGACCCGTCTACACCTTGGATCAGATTGCCCGCCTGGGCTCATCTACGGCGCTGGCCGAGAATGATGTCTGGGCCAAGATTTCTTTGTCTGGTGTCATTCTGTTCGTTACGACCAAGGTGAAACCGGTGCTCGGTCGCTCGCCTGACGATCTGATTGGTAAAGGCCTACAGGAGATCATGGAGCCCGAGACTGGTGGCATTGCTACGATTACGCAAGCCCTGGAGGCAGCCCGTCATGGACAAGGAGCTGGCATGGCCACCACTACGAGCGGCAAAGAAACGGATGAACCATCCTCATTCAAACACCAGATGTGGCATAAGAAAGGCCATGCCATTTTAGCACATACCACACTGTACGCCGGCGATGCAGAGAAGGGAATCAAACCGACCTTCCTCGTCGCCCAGATCCGATTTGCTCGATCCTTCCCTCCATCCGCCACCGCCATCTCAGCCACCGAAGACAAAAGTCTCGGTGCGCTTACCGGCACCGCACGCAATGCAACGCTCACCGTCGATGATCCCGCACCGTCCCGCCAGTACGGCGCCCTTGGTCAACGCATGCCAGACCTATCAACCCTCATCGGCCTCAACGGTCTGCCCACTGGCAACCGCAGCATTTCACCCTATGGTAACCCAGATACCTTCTTTACAGAGCTCAATCCCACCCGCGGATCAAGCTGGCAGATCGAGCTACGCGAGCTAGAGAAGCAGAACCGCACTCTGGCCGATGAATTGCAACGCCTGCTGGCTCGCCGTAGGAAGCGTAAGCGCAAGCAGAGCGCTATGGCAGTCGAGAAGTTTTGCGCCATGTGTAGCACCAAGAACACCCCCGAGTGGCGGCGTGGTCCGAGTGGGAACCGGGATCTTTGCAATAGCTGCGGTCTGCGGTGGGCGAAGCAAGTCCGTGGCCAGGCGCAGGCGCAGGCCGCGGTCTCTTCTGCTACCGTTGACTGATGGTTAGTATATCAACTGTGTGGGTTGCTGGCTTGAATTTTTTTTTTTTTTTTTGGTGAAATTGATCTCCTCCGCTTGGAGGTTTCTTGATACCCCTTCCATTTGACTGTCGAAGTTGACATATGGTACATTTGAGCGCCTGGATTTTTCTTTCGTACACGTCTCGTTTTCATAGCCTTGTAAATTGAATATATAGAGAGAGAAAAGAACATGCCGGCTAAGACTGTAGGTTCTACGGGCTAGTAATAATAGCAAAAAAAACAGCTCTTTTATGAGTCGAAATGTTGGATATAATACAAAAGATCCCTAATAAACATCTACTGTTCAAGGAGAGACCTCTAGTCTAGCTTAAAAAGAATCTACAGCTTCTTGGACTTGTGACTGTTTCCACGAACAGTCAACCACTGCTCCAACCAGCGCCTCTCCAATCCCTCCACCCGTTTCCGGTCTTGGGTACCAGAAGAGACGTCCAAACCACCACGTTCCTCAACCGCAATCCGCACCTCGGCAGCACTCATAGCCGGAACTCCTTTACCAACACGAATCATCCCATCATCAATAGCCAGGTACTCGACATACCGCGCCAGCCGAGGCCGGTAGATCAAACCAGCAAGCGACTCGCCCGCAGTCTTATCATGACGTTTAACCAGACCAAAAACAGCACAGGCACGCAAGACATCAGCGGGGCTCGCACCAGCGACCCAGGCAGGGTCAGCAAAAGACCTAGCAAGAAGAGCCAACTGCTTCTCACTACCCGCCTTGAGCAAATGCACAGACCGATCCTTATTCCGAGCCACAAACACATCCAGCGCCGCAAGCTTGCGCGCCGTAGCAGCAACGCGTTCCTTCTCCACCTGCGAGGGCACACGACACGTCGCGGGTGTAATGGCAGAGCCGAAAATTGGGACGACCAGAGGTGTGAACTCGCCGCAGACAATTAGGATCAGCGTGAAGGGGATCATGCGGCGGCCATCGCGAGCTGAGCGGCGGACGAGCTGGAACTGCGCGCGGCCGAGCTTGAATTCTTGTGTTATTGATGACGCGCTGCGGTTGTTGTGTGTGCTCCGCGGCGGGGATATGGGGATGTAGGCAGGTAGGCCTAGTTTTCTCCGTAGAGGAAGTGAGGCACGATAGTTGTGGTAGACATTTTTCAGGCCCGTTTTGTAAAAGGTCAGGTATGCGCGGCCGAATTCGACATAGCGTTTTAGTTTATCTGCTGCGCCTGCAGAGGGGTTTAGGGGAGATGGAGTTGTGAGAAGGGCAGGGAGGGTGCTGATTGGAGGATTTATTTCAGTTTTGGAGGGAATTGAGACGGTTGTTGTAGGGGGTGGTGATGGGGAGGGTCGGCGGGATTGGTGGCTCGGGGCGGAGGTTGAGAAGAGGTGGGATTGCGCGCAAATGGGCAATTTCGAGTAGAAACGAGAGTGGTTCCAAGGCTGCAATTGCGTATGGAGCACTCGCTGGCCCCGAGTTATGCCGGCCATTGTTGAGGTGGTGAGAAAAGATGAAATCAAAGTTGATTATTGCACATGTTATTAGTTGTTGACACCTTAGGCATAAATATCAAGATGCGAGTTGATGCCCAGGGACCAAGAGAATCAAAATACCATCTACTACTATAGTACCGAGGGATAAGAGTTTGATCATGGCATCTCTCATTGTTTCAGGTGGACTGAAAAAAACAAAACAAAAACGCAATTCGTAAGTGCTATATATACTCGAACTATTTTGTAAGGTAATGTACATCTTGAATGCAAGACAAGATCTATTCCTCTGCATGGACCTCAATGTTTTCGATGAGCCCGTTGCCCAACCGTGCAATCTCGTTCAGAATAGCAGTCTGGTTGATTACGACCTCGCCCTCTGTGTCACCTGGGGCGGTCGAATACGCCGTCTTCAGGTTCCAGGTTCGTGACTTCAGGGTCTGCGGGTTCCAAAGGCCAGCAATCACTGCACAACGATCGTCTCCGTGGAAGAGCAAAATGCTCTGGCTGTAACAGGCTTGGACATCACAGACAAACGACTTGATGGTCTGCATCATTCCAGCACGGGGTTCGGCCAAGTTCTTGTACTTGGGTGCCGAGGAACCGTTGAACAGCTTTGGGCGAAGATGGATAACAAAGTCATAGGGAGCAAGCGAGGTATCAAACAGCTCGGAAACATCCATATCGTGGGTCTTGCTTCGTAGCAGGCTTACTGCTGCTTTGGCTAGGCTGGACATCCGAGCAGCCACGACCTTCGAAGGCATCTCGTATTGGGTCCAGGTCACTCCTTCAGTATCGAGGTCGGAGGCGACGAACAGGGCCAGACTGTTCATCGCAGGGTCGATGCTGCGCCAGGCTGTGAAGCGAGTGCGGATATTTTCCGTCACTTGTGGGGTGAGTTCACCTCCCAGGTCAACAACGAACGGCTCCTGCTGCCAATCCCACCGAGAGAGGGAGTGGAGAGTCCTCAGGAATCCGGTCATGACAGACGAAGGACATTCCCAGGGGTTAGGTTGAGTGAAGGTGCGAATGACCAGCAATTCAATCAACTCGTCGCTGATTTGGGCAGTAAACAGGTGAGAATTAAACCATTGTTTGGTGAGACGAATGGTGGGCGACAACAAGGGGAAGCGTGTGCACAGACTTCGGAGTGCCTGTGTCAAGCGCGGAGTTTGGACAAACGTTTTCTTGTAGGCGAAGAGGGCATAGGCGGCCTCTTCTCGTTCTCGGGGACTCAGATTTCGGTCCTTGAGATTGCGCTCGAGTAGGATCTGTTCACGCTCGTGGTGAATCCTCAACCGGAACAACATGCCAGAGGAATGGGGAATTTCCAAATACGCATTGTTGATCACCTTGCTCGATTCGTTTTCGAGGCCTACACGGCAAGACGAAGCAGCACCCGATGATTCCAGAGAGTCCCCAATCTTCAAAAGGAACGCAACCTTGGTCATTTGGATAGCGGCAAAATCATCAGGCCAACGTGAGGAGCTTTCAAACTGAAGAACAACGTCGGTGGCTCCCGTTGGCCTAAGGGAGGTGTAACGAAGAAGCGAACTGGCCGGGGCCAAGTGACGAACTTCCAGTGGCACCTCATCCATGCCACGAATAGACTTCTCAAGATTCTTAAAGGCTTCATCAATTGACTGGAAAGCAGGGCTGGAGTATGCCAGAATACCATCGCCATGCTCTTTGAGAAGCTCGTCGTATTCATCACCAACAAATGCGAATTCATCAGTGGTGATCTTGAAGTGCCGTTGGAGTATGTACTCCAAAATCTGATAGATGATAGATGTCTCCGATTCGTCAGACCACACAAGACTCTCCAGGATGCTGCCATCCTTGAATCGTCGAAGCTCCGACTTTTCACCCCAGAAAGCTTGGAACGAGGCAGACTCCTCTTTTTCTTCTGCAGCCGGACCGTGGTCGACAATTCGTCCAACATTTTCAGCATTCAACAACAGTCCTACAGACACACCCTGGCTCGACCGCTTGGGCTGCTTGGATTTAACTGACCACGAATCAATGGCATGGCTAACGATAGAGACAAGTTTGACTCTGTCCCCCAGAGCCCGGGAAAGAACATTAAACAAAGCATTCTGTTCGTGAAGAGCGCGGAGCGTGTCTCCATTGAATGACTTGGGGAATGAAATCAAACGGTCAAATCTGAGGGCTGGTTCGTTGACCTTGAGAATGAAAACCTTATCGAAGTTGTCCTCCCGTGACTCGTTGAGCATTTTTAGGGTGATGGCGGCTTCGTGACGCAGTGTTGTGTATGACCAAGGCGTCATTTTGTAAAGAATGTTCAACCCTCTGCGGCCATCAAAGACAACAGGCACCCCGGAAGGAACTGGGACCTCTTGGCCGAAGAATAGAGGAGTGGTCAAATCTCTGCCGGCCAAAAATTGGATGGTGGCCTTGAAAATCTGGTAGCAGCTGTATGATGGTAGCAGGACCGGTTGTCCAGCCGGACCACCGCCTTCAAACAGTAAAGACAGAAGTACAGTCCATTCGAAACCACCAAAGCCTCCATTCTGGAAGGGGGTATGGAAGCCACGTTGTTGCAGCCAAGTGCGGCCAAGAATGCAAGCATCGCTGAATGAATCGCACTTTTTGGAGGCCGAGTAGATAGACTTGTGATAGAGAGAAACTGTGGCATCGGAACGGAGGCTGGCATTGTAATACGAGGTCGGTTCGCCGATCTCCGAGTTATTCGAGGCCTGGCGGATATTGCTTTTCAGGGGAAGCGTTCTTGTGATCGGAAACAACGTAGGATCGATTGCGGTCAGAATTCGGATTGTAGGCCTGGATGATTCGGCTTTACGCGGTTCCAACAAGATGAGAGGACGGAGACTGTCTCCATCCTGAGGGGCAAATTTGATATCAAGCCCGAGGGTGTTCGCGAGGTCTTGAATTCCAGCGGCCACGCACGCGATATAGTAGGCCCGCTTGTGGAAGTATCTGAAGTTGACGTAGTCCTTCTCCTGGAAGAGCGAGCTTGGCATGGTGACTGCCAGATCAATTGGGCGCGACTCCAAAGTGCGAGCACCTGTCTTTAGCGCAAAGCTACCTACCACGTTGATGTTCGCTGGCTTTGCGTATGCCATGCTGTATTTGACATCCTTGCTCGGCCGAGGCTCAGGCCATGGAACGACCAGACCAGAAGCGCGTAACTCCTTCTCGGCATCGGGGACAGATTGCGGAGACTTTTCGGGCAGGCTTTCAATGGCAGTTTTGATCTTGTGTAGTGTTTCCTGAACCTTTGAGACTTGCTTGCTGTAGTTAGGTCTCAATCCTGCCAGCAGATCGTCCATTTGCAGCTTGAAGAAACTGGACTTGTAAAAGCCGCTGGCCATTGCAAGCTCTGCGGAGCGCTCATCTTTGCCTCGAGTCGGGTTTCGCTTCTCGGTCACTTTCGATGTCTGTTTCGTTGAAGAGCTAGTAACAGCATTCTCCGGGGAAGGACTGAGCTTCCTGCGCTTGGATGTGTGGTCCGACATTTCGTGAGCGTAGCAGTTGTTACTGTAGAGGCCGAGATTTTTTTTTTGGCGATAACGGTATTGTATCTGGTACGGTATTGATGACTCATTTGTAATTTATCAGGTACCCGGAGCATCGCCGAAATCGCAGTGGAGAGAGGTATGGCATCATTTACAACCTTAAGAGAAACTCTTTTTTTCCTTTTTCATTCATTTTGAAGCGAATCTCTACAATAGATCCTACATTTTCTCGTGGTTTCTAATCTCAATTGAAAATGTTGCAGGCTTTGGGAGGACCTGTGCCTCCAAACACTGATCATGTATGGTTGAGTCCCCGCAACCCCTCCATGACTCTTCTAACATTTACAAGGCCGTCAGTGTATCGCTTCCAACATGGAGAGAAAATGTTGGCTACGAAGAAGGAGAAGATTGGGTTATAAAGAAGATGCAATGCGGATATCCTCGATTCTTCGTCCATCCTATTATCCAAAAGCTCGCCCAGGAGATTGTTCGCCGAGTCGGTGACCCCAACCTCGAGTCTGCAACCCTATTCGCATCGGTGAAGCCAGCGCGCATCTGTCACTCCTTTTTGCTTAGCAAAATCCCCGCAGAGCAGGCATACAAAGCACGGATTATCAACTTCGTCCCATCCCCACATACCGAAGCCGGATCAACAGTGACGTCTTCTCTGTCGTGTGTTATTTACCCAAAAGAATACGCATCCATTACCAAGCAAGTATGGCAACACTCAGGCAATGGCATCTCCAGTCGACGAGGTGAGTTCTGCCTTGGAGCATTGGAGGATGGGTTTTTGGTGGAAGACAAAGGCTTTGCGACTGCGGAGTCAATCTCCCAGCGTCCTTGCAAGGGACCCCGCAGATACCAAAGCGTCGGTGGAGCGAGAAAGGGCTCTGTTGGCGGATCTCCTCCCAAATCAAACACCGAAGACGGTCGCGACTATGCTCAATTTATTGAGGAGCGGTTTGGCCGAAACCTCAGCACCTCTCTCGCCAATCAGGCCAAGCTGGCTGTTCGCAAACGTATTGCGGGTGTCTTGACAGCCGATGTTGAACTACCAGAGGCCCTGGAGGCAGCTTCATCGGAAGGTCGAGTCGCCGGAATCTCTGAAGAGGATGTCCTTCTTTACCCTTCGGGCATGAGCGCCATCTTTAACGCTCACCAGGCCTTACTTGCTACTAGAGGCGATTTACCGTCAATTTGTTTTGGTTTCCCTTACACGGATACACTGAAGATTCTCCAAAAATGGGGGCCAGGCTGCGTATTCTATGGCCACGGCTCCTCGGAAGATCTGGATGATCTGGAATCTCGATTGAAGGCTGGTGAGCGTTTTCTTGGGCTTTTTACGGAGGCACCAGGTAACCCTCTTCTGAAAACACCGGACCTCAAACGAATTCGCGCTTTGGCAGACCAGTATGGCTTTGCCGTGGTGGTCGACGAAACCATCAGCAACTTTTTGAACATCAATGTTTTGCACCTGGCAGACATAGTTGTCAGCAGCTTGACCAAAATTTTCAGCGGAGATAGCAACGTCATGGGAGGAAGTGCTGTGCTCAACCCTCACGCACAGTATTATGAAGCTATCAAGGAAACCTATAACCGGGACTACGAAGATATCTACTGGGCAGAGGATGCCGTTTTCCTGGAGAGAAACAGCCGTGATTTTATCTCTCGCATTGAACAGATCAATGCTACCTCTGAGAACATTACAGCTATGCTCAAGGAGTCCCCGCTGGGCAAGTATCCATTTCCTTTGAGTGGGAGTTATACTAACAATCTCACAGTCAAAGAAGTTTACTACCCAAAATACAGCCCCACGAAACCACTATATGATAGCCTCCGTAATGCCAATGGTGGTTATGGTGGTCTTTTCTCTGTCACGTTCCACTCCCAAGCCGAGGCGGTTGCCTTTTTTGACACCATCGAGGTTTTGAAGGGACCCAGTCTTGGGACCAACTTTACGCTGAGGTGAGTACGCAGGCGCTCCTGTCTTGGGTTTTGCTAACTTTTCAGCTCTCCGTACGTCCTCCTGGCTCATTACGGTGAATTGGACTGGGTATGTACACCGCTCGCATGTTGACCAGACCCTAGCTAACATATGTCAGGCGAGATCCTTCGATGTCGATCCGGATCTAGTAAGAATCAGTGTTGGATTAGAAGAGGTATCTGATCTGCGTGCCAGGGTACAACTGGCCTTGGACGCAGTGCAAAGTGTTCGGCAAGCAAGTGCATAGTCTATCCCAGTTCAATCAAAGCTAGCTTGTGAATTCTACACAAGGACTTGGACTTTTTCTGTTTCTGGGATATCCAAATCCGTAAAATTGAGGTAGATCACACGATATAAAGCAGAATGCCATAGCTTCTCACACTGTACTAGAAGAAAACGAGATCCTGCTCCGAGCCCTTCACTGTCCAACGCCAATCAGAAACAGCTTAACCTGCTAAAACGTACGATCTAGCGGATCATCCCCTATGATACTCACGGCCTGGCTTGTAACGCCCAGGTCTCCACTGGCAGTCTTTCTCAAAGCCTGTCGCATGGTTTCTACATTGAGATCTCCCCCAAAAACTGGAAGAGACGGGACTTTGGGTAGTACTAGCAGTAGGGAACCGAGTGGGAGACATATCAGGCCCCCTAAAGGAGGTCGCAATGCTTGTTGGCGGGGAAGTGCCAAGCCCATGCGAAGAAGATGGAGAGCGCAATGGAGATGAGGATTGGTTGAAATCTCCTAGGCGCTCCCGAGATATTACGCCAGGGTGAGCTTCATTTGTTTCTGCATGCTCGGCATTGACAACGTCGGCAAAGGAAATAAAGCTCAGCCGACGTACATCTGTCGTGTCCAGTGCTCCATAACTGGACGAGAGTTCATCTGCATCGGCCTGGCCCAAAAGATGATCAATGCCTGATGATGACATCGATTGCTCCCCCGATGCACCACCCGCTGACTGATGTAGGCTATGTGTGACAATCTCGACCGAATCTGGATCGAGGCGGTCATCTGTGATGGCGGCCGAGGATGCTTCTAGGACAGGTGGAATATAGTTCTCGGTTCGAATATGCGCAGGTGTTGAAGGCGACGCCTGTGCTGGCACTATATCTTCCTGCACATCTCGTTCGAATATCTGAGACGCGGGGGAATGTATACGGGGCGGCAGATACGATGAGCTTTCGGGCGAGGGTTGTCTCATGTATTTAGTCGAATCATTTGGGGTTTGCAGAGCTTCGGATGATCTTCCAGGTGATATGCAGCCTGTGTCGATTTGATTCTTGTCCCATGTGAATGCAGCAGGCTTCGGGGCTCGTGTGCTCGTTCCCGTGTTTGGCTTCTGATCTGTCTGAACTGTAGAGTCCGACATTGCGATAAAATGAACTATCAAAATCCGGTCATCAAGAAAGTAGATTGGGAGGTTAGTAAAGTCTCAATGATGACATGAGACACGAGACCAGGTGACAGGTCCCGTAGGGTAAATACTTTTGTATCCGGTACTTTTGTTTGAGCTGTGATGAGAAGGACATCCGGAGTACTGGATACATTTAAATACGGTATTGTAAATACTGGCCAGGGGGGGTCACGAGACCAGGGGAAAAAGTTCGGGTTCGAAGCGCGAGAGATGCCAACACGTCCAGTCCTTCAGCCCCAAGTTCAGTGTTACCTTTAGGTCGGTTTACCACTATAAACAATATCTATGAAGTTTTATTAACACTTTCTTTTCTATTGTTCCAGTTTCTGATCAATTTCGTCCCCTCCAATTGACCAGAACAATGGCGACTTTCCTTGCCGCGACGAAGCGGCCCTTTCTCACATTGCCATTCCTTGTTCCCTCCTTGTCGGATTCTATGGCACTAGGATTTCGCCGAAACCAATCTTCATACCGACGAACCAAGCAGCGACTACGTGTGAAGCCAGACTCCTCATTTGACCCATCTAACTTGAGTCACGATCACATTATCCACAATCCGCCATCTAGTGCTCCGAATGCCTACCACACCCCATCCAAATTCTTGCCTGCCGATGATGTTCGGAAAGCATCTATCCTTTCTTCCACCGTGACCCCTAACGCCGACGATCTTCCCGGTGTCTACAAGTCTATGCCCGAAAGAAAATACCACCTCACCCCTTCAGACATTGAAGAAATCCGCAATCTCCGCATGAATGATCCCATGACCTGGAGCCGAAACAAGCTCGCCAAACGTTTTGACTGCTCGCCCGTTTTTATTGCCATGGTCTGCCAGGCTAGCCCAGAGAAGAGAGAGATCCAGGCCCGAATCTTGGAGGCCGTGCAATCGCGATGGGGACCTAAGCGCCGCATGGCCAGAGAGGACCGTGAACTGCGGCGGGAGGCCTGGGGCCGAGACGCATAGAGCAACTCACAAACTGCTTTGTAAAGAAAATCCATGTATTCTAGCTTCAGCATTGTTTATGTATTCCATACCATATCTTCTACAGGCCAAAAGAACGTAGAAATCCATAAAATAAGCGAAATATATGTATGTCTCAGTCGAAAGGCAGCTAATATAGTCCCTCCGGGTCCCTGTAACATCTCTACTGTGTGATAGGACCGAAAAAAATTACGTGATAAGAAGTCACCTCTGGACTCTCTCCGGTTACCTCAGGGCAAAGACGGCAATGCCCCTCTTTCCCCTTCGCGTTCCATTTAAGGCTTTTTCTTCTCGATTTTCTCCAGCTATTCGTGCACCTCTCACCTCTCGTCGCTTCTTCTACGGCCATATCAGTGATTCCAAAATGGCACCCCAGTTGGAGCCCTTTTTCAAGCAGTAAGTATGCTTATTGCCAGAAAGAGAATTCCACTGACTGTCAACAAGGGTCGATGACTCGTCCAACGACTTCATCGAGCGTATGTAACACGGCTTTTCTTCCCAAGGTTCTCGCTGATTCTAGTCAAGGTCTACGGAAGGCGGTTGCGATCCCATCTATCTCAGCTCAAGATGAGAACCGACCGGATGTGTTCCGCGTGAGTTTTCCAGCAGACGTACAAATGCAGGGTCTAATATTTCCAGATGGGCCAATTCCTTGCCGACGAACTCACAGCTCTTGGGGCCGAGGTCGAACAACGACCATTGGGCAAGCAGCCTGGCAAAGAGCACCTCGAGCTCCCACCTGTGGTTGTTGCGAGATACGGTAACGATAAGAACAAGCGCACCATTCTGGTCTACGGGCACTACGATGTGCAACCTGCTCTAAAGGAAGATGGATGGGACACCGAGCCCTTTGAGTTGACCATTGATGAGAAGGATCGGATGTATGGCCGTGGCTCAACCGATGACAAGGGTCCCGTTCTGGGCTGGCTCAATGTCATCGATGCCCACCGCAAGGCTGGTATCGAATTCCCCGTCAACTTGTTGTGCTGCTTCGAGGGAATGGAGGAGTACGGATCTGAGGGTCTGGATGACTTCATTCAGGCCGAGAGCAAGAAGTACTTCAAGGATACAGACGCCGTATGTATCTCTGACAACTACTGGCTCGGCACTGAGAAGCCCTGCCTCACTTACGGTCTACGCGGCTGCAACTACTACTCCATCAGCATTTCCGGCCCCGCCCAAGACCTGCACAGTGGTGTCTTTGGTGGCTCTGCTCACGAGCCCATGACTGATCTGGTGAACGTCTTATCCAAGCTGGTTGACCCCCAGGGTAACATCCTCATTCCGGGTCTCATGGACCTGGTGGCTCCCCCTGACTGAGGAGGAGCAGACTCTCTATGGAAACATCAGCTACACTATGGATAACCTCCACGAGTCGTTGGGTTCCGAGACAGGTATTCACCCCACCAAGGAGCGTACTCTGATGGCCAGATGGCGTTACCCCTCTCTGTCCATCCACGGTATCGAGGGCGCTTACTCGGCCCCCGGTGCTAAGACGGTCATTCCCGCCAAGGTCATTGGTAAATTCTCCATCCGTACCGTGCCCAACATGGAGAGCGCCGATGTGAACAAGCTGGTCTTCGACCACATCAAGGCTGAGTTCGCCAAACTGAACAGCAAGAACACTATGGATGTTTGGCTGCAGCACGACGGCAAGTGGTGGGTCGCCAGCCCCAAGCACTGGAACTTCTCGGCTGCTGGCAAGGCTGTTCAGCAGGTATTTGGAGTCGAGCCTGATATGACTCGCGAAGGTGGAAGGTATGACTCTCTTCTTCCATTAAACAATATATTTTCACAGCTAACCATCGATAGTATTCCTGTCACATTGACCTTCGAGCAAGCCACCGGCAAGAACGTCTTGCTCCTCCCCATGGGAAGCTCGACTGATGCCGCCCACTCTGTGAACGAGAAGCTTGACAAGAAAAACTACATTGAGGGAACCAAGCTTCTGGGAGCTTACCTGCACTACGTTGCCGAGGAGCCTACCTCTTCGTAAATATAGTATAATCATTGATTCGATATTTCTTCTGCTACTTCAAGTCTTTTTTTTACCAATACACAAGCCATTTCATCAATAACACTTGGAATAACATATGTATTACATATATATCACACAGGGAGGACATTAGGAGGGAGAATATAGCTATCCCCGTATTCGAAAAGGGTTGATTACTTATATTGCGCTACTTTGGGGGGATATTAAGAACCCCATGAAGCACAGCCAACATAAAAAGTTGACTAGGCAAGGAGCCACCAAGAAAAGTCTAGGAAAATGAAGATAAAAATGCATCAAGAGCAAGACGCCGTCAAGTGCAAAGCAATTCGAGATTAGTTGCTATATATCTGTTAGTATCCTATTCAAGAATCAATCAAGAGGAACAACTTACTAGATCTCCAGAGGAGAAATCTGATCCAAAGCATAGAGCCAGTTTCCACCTTGTTCCTCTTTCTCGAGCCTGGAAAAATAATTCGTTAGCATAACCTCAGGTCCAATGGAAGCGAAGTTGAGACATACCAGTCATAAGGCCACATGATGAGATGGCCTTGAGTATGGTTAAGGAGGTCCTCCGCACGGCCCTTGTCCAAATACTCATCTGTGCCATGGGGGTCACGCTTTGAGCCAATTGTTGTAGCTCTGCGTCTACGTCTCCGAGACTGGCTCGCCGAGTTCAGATTCAAGTTCACGGCTTCAGAGTAATCAACATGAGCCGAGGCTGTTCGTGGTTTCTCGATATCCTCACTGGCGACGCCATTGTCGTCGCTGGTCCCGTTCGGAACCTTGCCCAACAGGTTCGGATCCGACACCGTCTTGAGTGTGGCCTTCTCATCGATAGAGGATAACGTCTCCTGCTTCACCAGCTGCTCAGACTGAGAACGACCAGCTTCGTTCCCAGTTCCGATCTTCTCGTCAATTTTCTGGGGGCTCTTCGGGTCTGCCTGCGGTCCTTCGGCCCTTGGGGCGATGAAAGACATCTGAGAAGCGATCGACATAGGAGAGCTGACCGTAGCACCGGGTGGGGGAGGGCCACTTTGTCTTTGTTGAGGTTGGGATGGCTTGCTGCCTGGTTGGCTCTGCATCTCTGCAAAGCGCTCACCATATGTGGCATATTCCTTGTATTCCTTCCAGTTCTTCACCTCGCTGTCGGGCATGCAACGGAACACAGATCGGTAAATTTTGGTGTTTTTCTCGGCGACGGCTTGCCATGTGTCCAGGTAGAAGCCATCGATGATCGGGTCTCTCATGCAGTCGTTGTCGATGAAGATACGCTTGAGGTCTGGAACAGACGGGTGTTTCTGCTGAGCGGTTCCATTTTCTTCTCTCGGTATGTTCAAACCGGTACCGCCAGTCTCGGACTCGCGGCTCGACGATCCATTAAATCCATGACCGTGTGACGTGGTGTTCGCATTGAGCTCAGAGTCGACATTGGTCTCACTCGATGACCCAGGTCTGCGGTCCTTGCGGGTCGAGGGTGTTCGAGGGGGCTTTTGCTGCGGTGATCTCGGTCGCTCAATAGTACCCTTCCCCTCAGGAGCGATGGGTGAAAGCAGTGCTTCTCTTCCGTTGGCCTCCACATCCGAATCACGACCAACTACTAATCCAGCCCGAGCAGCGGCTTTCAGGTGATCGGGACCATCACCTTCCACGTCTTTCCTGTGATCAGGATTTTCAGTGACGCGAGGATCGGTAGTGAGCTTGCGGCTCGATTTGAGGTTAGGGTTAGCACCCTGTTCCCAATCGACATCGTGGTTGAAGCTATACATGTCCTCGGAGCGAGAAAGGAACTCATCCTGGACACGATGCCGACGTTCAACCATTTCCCTCTCATCTTGCCGCTCGACGGCCGAGGCACCCGAATTTCTTCGCTCTCGGTTGTCAACTGGGCGCTCACTCCCCTCGGCGACCTGGATCTTACGTAGCTCTTCTTCAGTAGCAAAGTCATGTTCCATGAGTTCGTCGACATCAATTCCAAGATGTTCCCTCATCAGACGCATACGCAGGGTATGTGGGAATCGACCAACAAGGTATGGCTTGCCATTCATGCTCGACATGATCATATCAGTGTCTCGCACAACAGATGCAACCTCTGAATCACGCGAACCCAACATGGATCGTTCGTTGATGTTTGCTGATCCAATGATAGCAGCGCGATCGTCAACGACCATGCATTTGGCGTGAATATAAAGTTGCTCGGTCACCAATGCCTTTTGCGGTCCAATCTTGCCCCAAGTTCGCAGACTGTAGAACTGGATATAGTCTTCTGGCTCGATCCCAAGAGCACGAAGACGGCCGAAAATAGATGTCTCTCCACGGCAGATACTGCGGTATTGACACTGCATGATAAGGCGAACACTTGTTCCACCTTCACTGTCCACAGTATTCTGGAAGCCTGGCATCAATGGGATGACAATGACGGCACGCCACGCTTCCTCATTTTTGGCAGCTCGAACAATACGTTCAACCAGGGCATCTCCAATGAGGTTCTCGATCTTCCGGCCCTCGATCTCGCAGGTACTGATGAAGAACTGATTCTCGATATAGACGAAATGCTCGGATCCCTCAATCAACTTCACATAAGCATTCATGATGCTGTGCTCGACAACATCGGGTGTTCCCGTAGACCACATGCTGCTAGAACGAAGAATTTGTACCTCACAAGTTCCATCAAGACCCAAAGCTTCCAAATCAGCGGGATTGAAATCGGGTGGCGGCAAGAGGAAGGGCGTCGGCCGCGTGGGCTTTCGCTGGCGAAGAATGTAGTTCCAGCGTTGCACGAAGTGACGAGTAAGATCCCGAGCAGGCTGGCCCACGACATGCATAGAAATATCATGCCACGGCATCCGGGGGACAACATTGCGATCATACATCTCCTCATACGGTTTATCCAGGTCGTAGAAATCCTGGATTCTAGGATTGGAGTAGTCCTTGCCCGGCCAGAGTTGACAATGATCCGCATCTTTGGGACCATCGGTGGTTTCAAAGCCGGTAGGCTTGTCATCGGTCAATTGATGCTGAGGAGTATCCCAACGCCCAAAGCACAGATCAATGCCTCCAACAAATGCGATAGTGTGGTCGATGAGACAAAGCTTCTCGTGGTGGGCCCAGAAGAAAGTATTTTGCCGGAACTGATTTGGTGATCGCTGAACAAAAATATTGGGGTGAAGATCAAGGAGAGAGAACTTGGAATACTCCGAGTCAATGGGAATAGCGGAGTTGATGTTGCGATACATGATCACGAAGACTTTGACACCTTCGCGAGCTTTCTGTTGCAGGAGACGATCCAATCGCCATTTCTGGCTGATGGCAGCAGGCCGACGCATGTAAAGCTCTGGACTCAGCCACCAGTCATGGATATAAATGACATCCTTTGCCTGGTTGATTGCTCGTGAGACAACCCACATGTGATCTCGTGCATCAACCAGCCACTGCGCAAAGCAGTTTTGTCGCACAGGCGCGAAACTGTCGAACCGGTTGGGGCGCATCCACGGAGTATTGGCAACCATAAACCGGATCGAGTCTTCAAACTGTTGGAGTTGACGCTCATTCCGGGCCAGCAGTTTGAGCTTGCGTTCAGAGTTCTCAAGTCGGAGAGTATGATGCTGAGGGTGTCTCGCAGACTGCTTTGCAGATTTGGCAAGATCCTTTGGATTTTGTTTGCGGAGACTGAGCTTCTGTGTCTGAATTTTGAAATGAGAATCCACCAAGAAGACATCATAGATATTCATTTCCTCGGGGGAGTCCACACAGACTACATAGCTGTGCCTAACCAAAAACCACTTGGGCGAATGGCGCTTTTTGACCATAGCTGGGGTGAGCGCCTTTCGGAAATCAAGACCCTTGGAGGACTGGATAATCAGGAATCCTTCTTTGCCATGGTAACTGCCTTCTGCAGCCAGACGGACGCCGAGAGCGGACAGTTCCAAGAATTTGCATAGGCGATTGCTGTCAGCCCTAAAGATCAAGAATCTAATCATCTTTTGCAGATAGAGCTCAAGCTTCTTCCGCTGCTTCTCGGGGTATGTTTCTTTCCTTCCCGCCACGCCTTCATGGGTGGATGAAGGTCCTGCGGCTGAGTCTCCTTCTTGATTGGTGATGCTGGACTTTCTGCGAACAAGCGGGCCAGAGGGCCGACGCTGGTGTGGTTGTTGACTCTGCTTTTTCTTCATCGCAGGCCTCTCTGTTCCACTCATCCCCTCCGCACCAGTCTCATAACCGCCTTCTTCGTCCTCATCTTCGAATTCACTTTCGAGCCCTCGCACACCTCGCATGTAGGGGAAGGCACTTCTAGGAAATCGAGGGAGACTTGGGCTGTTCTCACTCGTGCGTAGCTGAATGTACTTCTGAGTTCCCAGATGAAGCTTATACTTGAGATGCAGATTGGCAAAGTCCCTCAGCGTGCGGAAAATGATCCATTTCATGCGAGTCATGCCACTTCCGTATTCCAATTCGATTCGGAAGACTAGATGACGATCACCGGAGTGGGAATCGATCCGGCTATCCGTAACACGAACCTTCAATTGCTCCAAAAGAATCGGGATTCTTCTGCTGCCGTGCTCATCTCGTTGAAACGCACTGGCCAGTATAAGCGCAGCAGGCACGGCCGAAGCGAGTTCAGCAAGCAACTCTGCGGATTTCTTATTGTCCACTGTGTTTTCTGGCCTTCTTCGCTGCCCAATGAGTTTCAAGCCAGCTTTGATTTGCTTCCATCGCTGAGCACTGGCACTGGTGCCTCGCTCAGTCCGATGGCGTCTCCAGCTCGCCGTTAAGCTTTCGTCGTTTCCAGACGCTCCGGCAAACCCAGTCAATCGCCTCAGGTTACTCGGCCGTTGTTCGTCCGGATTGACATCTGGGTGCCGGTCAGTATAGCTCCCAATCCGAGTATTTGCCCACGGGCGGCTCCTCGTCCGCCGGCTGAGCCTTTCACGGCCTTCGTCTTCTGAAACACCTTCACGTTGTTGAGGTATAAAGTCCGTAGTGCTTGCTCTTCGGGGAAAGAGATTGGTGCGATAGTTCTCGAAGGGTGCAAAGGAGGATGAGAAGTGGAATGATGGTCTGCGCGATGTTTTAGGCGTTGTAGGAGCGGTGTTGGAGCCATTTTCTTCCTCCCGTTCCTTCCGTCGTCGTTGTGTTTTTCTTTTTTCACGAGGATCACGTTGCTCACCGCCGCTCTCTTCCGCATCGGCATCGATCTCGCTGCCCTCTTCTTCTAGGGGCTCTGGGAAGCGGAATTCCCCCCTTTCCGACCCCGGAGTAGCTATATCGCCTGGAGCTGAGCGGAAGTCCGTACTCGCGCCGCTAGGAGATCGCGAGTGTGACGAAAAATTAGGTGCGCTAGCCAGTAGTTTCAGTTTGCCGAACAACGACTGCTTTCCTTTGGGACCTTGATCATCATCGTCACCGTGTTGGGAGGGGGGTCGAGATTGTGGCCGGGAGTGGGACGGGTCGGGAGCCTCAGTATCTGTATCTCTGAATTGTACACTTGGGGCCCGGGATGGAGGAGACACTCCGGGGTTAGACGGCTGGCGTTGATGGCGACTCCATAGTTGGTGGTCCTCGGCTGACCGGTTCGGTGGTCGCGTGCTCATGGATGACCTGCCTCTCGGTGAGCCATGCTTCAAGGATGATGGACGTGCATTTTCCTTGTCGCCTAGTATTCCACCTATTTCATGACCATCGGTGGGCTGGATGGGTTGGGTGGGCTGGGTCTGCTTGATCGAAGCGGGTTTCTTGAATTCAGTGGGAGAAGGCAACGGGGATGCCAATTTTGATTTGTTTGAAGCTAAAAGAGGCTCTTGCTTCTTTGTGTCGACCTTCAGTGAGCCGGTTTCCACATCTTTGTGAACTGAAGAGGCCGACATGTTTTGATTCTGGTGATGCAAGATGATCAGCTGTAGTTCACGGGTCAACCACTTTTACATACTCAATCCACTATCAAAGACTGATCCTTGTCATCGTTGAATAATAAAATCCAGGGGATAAAGAACGTGTGTTGACATTAAAAGGAGCATACCATAAATTAGTTTACAGTGGAGCTCCCAGCTGTTCTCCGACTGGAGAAAAAGCGGGCGGTCAGTTTGGAAAAGGGGCACACGTTTACGCTTGTTAGTGGAGTATCGACGTAGTATTTTAGTGTTTAGTATGGAGTATGAAGTATAGGGAAATATTGAATTGAATCAAGTTTAAAGGGGGTGCTTTTTTTCATTTGATATGAAACAAAGTGGCCATATATAGCCTCAATTGAACCTCAATTGAGGTTATTGGAGTACTACACCGGAATTTAGATATATATATATATATTTCAAAAAAAAAAACACCCAAAAAAGGAAACAAATGACTCGCAACGATGAAGGGAATATAAAGAATATAATAGAGCAATCCGTAAGAATCTCCAATATAGTCCGGGAACTACACTAAAATACCCCAAGGCTAATAATAAAGCCTCGGCTTTGCGTAGTAGTATACCCGAGTCGCCTTTTATCTCCCCACTATTCAAACTATCTCTCTTCAACATATTTCACTTCATATTTTCTATTCTTCATATCTGCTCAACCATCATGACTGATCCGTTACAGCCACTCGACGATTCAAATAGGCCCAGGTCGGCTGCTGTTTCCCAGAAGGTCTATGCAATTGCTGGCATCTCATCAACGGTCTTTGGACTGGAAGAACTCCGCAAAGAGGCTTCGGAGGTCGCATGTCTCTGGCTTCTTCACCCCAGACTAGCCACCCAGGAGCGCATGACCAACATTGCGAACTCTGCCATCACCGATTGGAACACTAGAAACCGGGACACACCCTCGGCTAAGGGCCTGATTGCTGTTTCGTTCGACCAACGAAACCATGGCACCCGGATGGTCGACCCTCTTGCTAATGAGACTTGGAGAAAAGGGAACCCTCGGCATGCCCAGGATATGTTTTCCACCTTCCGTGAGTGAAATAATTCGTAAACGACGATATAATATTCTAACTATAGCTAGAGGGCACTGCAAGAGATACATCGCTGCTCATGGACTACCTTCCCTCTTACACATTCCCCAATGGTGAGCACAACATCACCGAGAACCTAGTTCTAGGAGTGTCACTGGGCGGACACGCAGCATGGAGCTGTCTACTGCACGAGCCTCGAGTCAGCGCCGGGGTTGTCATCATCGGCTGTCCAGACTATATCAATCTGATGGCAGACCGCGCACGGCTGTCGAAGCTACCATCATGGACCAAGAGTGACCCTCCTGGCGCCGAAGTCTTTGGCTCAGAAGCCCTGCCGACTTCTTTCCTAGAGACTGTTAGCCGATATGACCCTGCCGGCATGATGCTGAAGCATGTGGATTGTGGGCCATCAACTGGTCCTTTGCGCGAAGGCCCGTTGCCCCAGCCCTCAGAAAGCGAGCAGCAGGTACTCCGGCCGCTGCTGACTCGTGCGCTGGGTGGCAAACGCATTTTGAATATATCTGGTGGCAAGGACAAGCTTGTTCCATATCATCGCGGAGAATTGTTCCTCAACTGGTTCAAGCAGACTGTCTCGTCCGATGGGTGGTTTGGTGATGGTGCGGTGTCCTTTGAAGATATCATCGATCAGGCGGCGGGCCATGAGGTCACTCCTAACATGGCTGACGAGGCTGTTCGGTTTATCAGCGAGACGTTGGCTGCGGGCCCCGATAAGGCGGGTCGACGGGGTTCGGTGCGAGAGTCGAAGATCTGAGCACTAGCGCCATGGTGATAAATGTTTCGATGTCTACAATATAGAAAGAAATTAGATGTGCTATGACAATACCTATCCCTTCCGTAGTTCTGCATTCATAACCAGACAGATTGGTAGACCCCAAATCTACGAAGATGACCGTAGCTTATAGCAGCGAACCCGCGAAAAGCTGGCAAAGCCTTTCATGGATCGACAAGGCAGCCTCGGTAATCCTACATGAGCATGGCACAATAATTCAGAACACTCTGCCCTTTGGGAGTAATGACAATGGGCACGCATGAGACAATGACCACGCATGAGCCACAAAACTTTTGAAAAAAATCCTCCTTATGGTATTTGTTTAACACACTGATGAAATCGTAAGGGCATTCGGAGGCCATATGCTATGCTGATTGCATACAAAAAAAACCCTTTTTATTTTCGACCGCCCGGACCGACTTGGTTTCGGTTCGGGCAGATCTCATTTTGAGTTCCGATCGTCCTCCATGCTGGCGAACGAACACAGCTAGGGCTTCAAAGTGCCCCTATTCACCCGCCCTTCTCCAGAAATTTCTCGACGGATCAACGCTTATGCGACGAGCTCAACAACACCACCGGCGGCCTTGATCTTCTCCTCAGCGTCACGGCTGACGTAGCGGGCACGGACGACGACGGGGATCTGGGGGAGACGGCCCTTTCCAAGAACCTTGGAGTAGCCGAGGGGCAGGAGGTCGATGACGGGGGCGACATCGGTCTTCTGGCCGCTCAGGTAGGCGTCACGCTGCTCAGCGGGAACGAGGGACCAGAGCTGTAAAAAAGAAAATCGCAGTCAGCGATAATTGTCCTTCTCAATGAAATTCCGTAATTATTCATATTATTGTCGATTGGCCTCCCTCCTCTTTGCATATTGCCGCGATTTGCGCATCTCCATATCCAGACCAATCCACAAATTTCTTCTTCATATCGAATCGACTCGCAAGATGTGGTTGTAACGTACCTTATCGACGTTGATGGTGGGCTTCCAGAATTGCTGGTTGGTCTTGTGGAAGTAACGCATACCGACCTTACCGAAGTAACCGGGGTGGAACTTGTCGATGTTGGTACGGTGGTGGTGCTGACCACCGGCCATACCACGACCACCGGGGGACTTGCGGTGCTTGCCGACACGACCGTAACCGGCAGACACATGGCCGCGGCTGTGAGAGAATGAGAGGTTAGTGATATGTTGGTGTGATATTGCGACGGGTTATGACGAATTTGGCTCTTCTGGTCGCGATCGACGAGAAAAGAATTCGATTCAGACGGCACAGGAAAGGGTGTCGACTCACTGCTTCCGGGTGTTCGAGAAACGGGTAGGCATCTTGTCGGCGGGGGTGTTTCGACAAGACCGTTGATGTTTGGCGTTGAAGGGATCGTTCCGTCTACAGGATGTTGAAATCCAGGCTTAGAGTGTGCGCTAACAAATTCGCTTGTCCCGTGATCGTGGAACCCTAGCCCTGGATTAGTCAGAACTTATGTCATGTATATAGTACACACCGCCATTTCTTGATTCTTCTTGATTCTGCCGGTCTTGGACAATTTAGGGCTTTTCCGGGTTTTATGTACATCTATGCATGGCAAAGGTCCAATGAGCACGGATTTCATGTAAAATATGATGCTGTATTATAATGTTTTTATCCATAGTTCCTATTGCGCTATCGCCTTCTTTTCAGCGAAGAATTTTGCAAGTCTTTGCACGGTCATCTGAGCCGCCCGCGTGGGAGATGCTGGGACCAAGCTCCCTCTAATCCAGCCAGGCAGTTTTTGTTGGATCCGTGGTGACTCATACCGGCGGTCGATCATGATGATCGCAGCATAATCGTTCACATGCCTAATGGCTCGACCAATGCACTGGTTCACTGCTCGCATGCACGAATTCTCGTAAAAGTCCCTGCCCGCTGCCTTGCCTGCTGCTTTCCTTTCTGACTCGGACCCAGAAGCCTGTTTGTACGTCTTCTCCTCGAGGTACTGGATTTTGGCCTGCCAGATAGCGCTGCGGATATTGGGAAATGGAAGGCCGATGATAAAGACGCCGCGCCCGAGCTTGTCAGAGAAGTTGATGCCTTCTGACAACTTGCCACCCACGATAGACAGAAGCAAGGCTCCTGATCCTGATTCAACGGCCTCGGTATACTCCCGTAGTAGATCGTCTGTAGTTGTCACTGCTTCGCGAGATTCGTAGAGAATCTTCTTCTTCCGTTCCAGTAGACTGAGAGTGCTTTGTCCGTTGCCGTTGGGAATGGGCTTCTTCCAGACACTCAGAACATGACTGAGATAGTCATAACTGGGAAAGAATGCGACGACACCGTCTGGGATGACTTGACAGAGGGTTGCTATCGTACGCCCAAGGTCGGTGATCTAGTTGATATATAAATAAATAGGCTTTTCGAAGTATGGAACGTAGTACATACCATTTTCTCAGAATTTCGTGCCTCATATGTAAAATCAAATTCGTTCCCCATCAGCCCTTGTGTCAAGGACTGTGCCACCAAGTTGGATTTTGGAATGACGTGGCCATAGCTGAAGGTCCCTAGTCGGTCTGGGGGCAGATACGAAAATAAATGATTCACATAATCTGACATCTGTTGAGAGCATTAGAGAGTTACAATGGCAGAGGATATGAGCCGTACTTACAGGAGACATAGTACCACCAGCTAGAATGACAGCCCTGGCATCTTCGGCAATTTCCCGAAAGTGGTTCGTAGGGTCAAGAAGCATGTATTTCAACAGAACATCGTCTTGGCTTTTCTGGAAGAAGAGCCGCCCCTCTTCCGAAGGGTTCATAAGAGGAAGAAGAAAGCTTTGAATATGAAACAAAACCGGTATTGTTGTCTTATCTTTGGCCCGACCAGGTTGTGGCTGTTGCGAGGATTCAAGATAGCCGTCGACTTTCCGGGCGAGCTTGCTCTCTTGTAGATATCTAGAGAGTTTATAAGGGTTGATCTGGTCAACCCCCTTTCCAGCCATGAGATCCGACGTTTGGACCGAGCCTTCCAGTAGACCTTTTTGCTGAGCAATTGACTTCATATGCTCGGCAATGGAGTTCACCAACCGGATGACTTGGGCAACATAGGTCCGATTCTTCCCTTTTAATCTGTTCTTGAACTTGCGGGCATATGTTGTCAGCTGCCCAGTGGCCGTCTGCAGTTGACTTAGTGAGACAGTCACCGAATGAATGCCAGCTATTGCATCCATGAGGTTGTGGGCTTCATCGATGATGACAATATGACCTTTGATGGAGATATTAAGGGCCTCACGAGCTGATCTTTGCAGCAACAGGGGATAGGGAAGTGTAACGATCTAGTATTGAGTTAGAGCCGACCTTATACCCGTTCCCGGGTGAAACTAACCTCGCTGTGTTTGATGACTGGACGAGATGCATAGTAGGGACATATGCCGAGATTTTTCCCAACCTGGGCAATGTCTTCGATGTCCTTGACTGTCGCCAAAGTATGGTCCCTGAACTCAAGAGCCAGAGCCTCGTCGTCTTTGGAGGGGATAAAGGAACACTTCTTGTCGGCTGCTACACCGGCTTGCTGTAAATCCAAACACTTCTCGTTAATTGCGGTGTTGTTCTCCAAGGCCTGGACTTTGGGGTTGATGCATAGGTTCTTTCTTGACCCTAGCGACAGGTGCTTCACCTGCTCTCTCAGTTTGGAGGGGCCATCTTTGCTCTCTGGATCGAGGTCGTCCGGTATACTAGATGGGAAGGTGACTCGTCGCAATTCACCGGCGAACTGGCTCAGCTGAGAATGTGTTCTTGAGCAAAAAAAGATCTTGATCTCATCCTCTCCGTCATCCTCTTTATCTTTCTTTGCCGAGAATTTCCCTTGAAACCGTTCCAGCAAGGCTAAAGTGCTTGCAGATAGACCCTCGGAATTCGCACAGTCATTCTGCTTTTTCTGATTGTCTGTGTCGCTATCATAGTCATCGAGAACAAATTGATCATCGTCGACAGGCTCCGGGGCTGAATCGTCACGTCGCTATTTTCTAGTTGGTATAGCGTTCTTGTATCGGGGAATCTATGCGTACCTGCTTCTTACGGGGTCGGTCTGCGCTGTCCTGGCCCAGTTTCAAACGTTCCTCCTCTTGTCGAATCTTGGCTAGTCGGGCCTCAAATTCTTGTCTCTTTTCGGTAATGGCACGCCTGGATTCTCGTTTGGCATATTCTATCATCCACTCGGGCTCATCATCATCGCCTGGAAGGTCAGCTGATATGTCATATGTTTCACCCTGGGGACCCACATGTTGCATCGACGGTTTCTTGGAGAGCCTTTCGCTTGTGATCTCTAAGCCAGGTCAAAGAACCACAAATTAAGCTTAGAGATTTTCCAGTACCTGTGTCATTATATTAGACGAATATAACATATAGAACGCAATTCTTACCAGTGGGGGATTCAAATACGGCGACCTTGCTATCTTCCAGGCAGGTGTACAATGCCTGCATAAACTGTAATTGAATATCATATGGCGTATATGGATGGTGGAAATCCATGGAGATCATAGTCTAAAAGATCTTTAAGAGGATAAAAAATCAAAAAGGGAAACGGGAAATAATTTGCGGGTACAATTACAACATTACAATATGATACATATGTACTATATATGTACTATGTATAGATTTAAGAGACATATTAGATATGAGGCTGAGTAAATATGTATAAAGATCTTATATAACTATTACATACTAACTACCTTGGGTACTATTAATAAACATTTTATTCACCGTTTGACCTGGCGGGGGTGGGGGGCGTCTACTTTTTTCCCTCTCCTCTTTTCAATTTCTCCTTCCTTGATAATCTGATATAACTTTCAAATTCACAATGAATAGACCGCAGGGTGGTCAACAACGCCTAGGTGCAACTTGGTATCCAGGGGGGCAAGATGACTTCTACATGCCAGAGGTCATATCCCCATCTCCTCAGAGGTATGATATTTGAATATCTGTCACCTTTCCAAATTCCGATGCCGAAAATACGAGTACTAATTCACCCTAGAGTGATGCCAGAAGTGCCCGAGAACATGCAGGACAATATTGCTGAGATGGAATACCGCGCTCATGACCCCCGCCGGCAACAACAACCGTACCAACGCGCCCAGAGCTATCCCGAGCGCACTTCCTCTGCCCAGGGCCCACCACCCCAACACAATCAAGTCCATGATCCCAGTTCCTACGCGCAATCCGCGACCTATGACAGCATGGATCACCCCAACTTTTCACCGTTCCCGGTCTTGCGGAACCCACCACCTAATGTCCCCCCCACCGATGAACAGAGAGAAGCGAATCTAGAGCGCGCGCGGATGGCCGTCCTGTCGACCACAGACCCGGAGATGCAACTCGCATGGGCCTTGGATGCTCTCGCCTTTGTCGAGGTCGCCGCACAGAACGATGTCCGCCTCGGGTTGACCCAACCCCCACGCCCGCAGACCCCGCAGGTGGAACGCCAGCTGAGGGTCGACGCGATGAACATCGTCGGCTTTCTAGCCGAGCAGCGCCACCCCAAAGCGGAATTTATCAAGGGCATGTGGCTCGAGTTTGGCAAATTTGGCTGTCCCGTGGATCGCAAGGAGGCATTCCGATCATACTCCCGAGCCGCTGAGAAGGGATATGCGCGCGCCGAATACCGGATCGGAATGCAGTTCGAGAGCTCGGGTGAACCGGAGAAGGCGATCAAACATTACCAGCGGGGTGTTGCGCGGGCGGATTCTGCCTCGTACTATGTGGGTTATCAGATACACTGCGAAAGTGGAGACACTAACATACTTACAGCGCCTGGGAATGATGATTCTGTTGGGCCAGCATGGGCAGCTCCAGGACTTCAATACTGGCTTGGATTACATTCGGCTGGCGGCGCAATCATGCGACCAGAACGCACCTCAAGGTGCATACGTGAGTTCTCCTAAGCTTTTTACCTTGGAAAGTAGTCTAATGGAGCAAAGGTATACGGCATGCTCTTGGCTCGAGAACTCCCTCAAGTGAGCGTCCCGGAAAGCTTCCTGCCCCTTGATCTGAACTTGGCACGTGTCAATATCGAAAAGGCGGCATATCACGGGTTCGCCAAGGCTCAGGTCAAGATGGGTGCTGCATATGAACTCTGTCAACTGAGCTGTGATTTCAACCCCGCGCTGTCTCTGCACTACAACGCACTGGCAGCCCGCCAGGGCGAGCCCGAAGCTGAGATGGCCATCAGCAAATGGTTTTTGTGTGGACATGAGGGTATCTTTGAGAAGAACGACGAGCTGGCATTCACGTATGCTCAGCGTGCGGCCCAGAGTGGTCTTCCGACAGCTGAATTCGCCCTGGGATACTTCTACGAGGTTGGTATCTTTGTGCCTGTGGATATCAAGGAAGCCCGTTCTTGGTACGCCAAGGCCGCTGCCAGTGGCAACAAGGATGCATCTGGTCGGATTGAAAGTATTTCGCGCTCCAAGACTCTGTCCAGAAAGGACCATGAGAAGGTAGCAATCTCACGTATCAAGTCGACGCGATATACCGCTCATCAGCGAGGCAACTCACTGGAAATGACCCCAGAGAATATCCAAATGCCAGATCCTTCGAGAATGACCTTGTCGGATGGCCCACCATCTGGGGCTCCTTACCCCGATCGTCCTCATTCTACTCGTCCACGACCCCAACAGGGTTATCAGCTGTCAGACACTCGCCCAAGCTCTGCTTTCGGTGTCAATCCCAACCTTCGATCTAATGCACCCTCGGGATATGGTGGCCCACCCCCCCAGGGCCCCGGAAATCGCACTCCATCCTATGGGCCTGGTGGATCTATGAACTACCGCCAATCTGGTCCTGGAACCCCCCTCAGTGCTCCTGCTGGGCCTGTAAGCCCGCAGGCTGGTAACATGATCAGTCCTGGCGGGGCTCCTCGTCTCGATATTGGCTATTCTGCACCAATGCCGCCTCCAGGTGGGCGACGCCCACCTCGACTTGACTCGGCTCCGGACCGCAAGCCTATGAGACCTCCCGTTTCTAGTCACACCGGGATGCCCTCATCCGGTGTGGCGTCTCCTCGTCCCCCCGGTTCGCCCTCGTTTCCTCCTCGTATGGAGTCCCGGCAGCCGTCTCACGGTTCAGGCCCCTCTACGCCTCAGCCGGCGCCCTCTGTCGCGTCGTCGAGTTCATCCACACCGCAACCGAAGCCAGCCAAGCCGCCAAGCAAGGGCCCCAAGACCTTTGAGGAGATGGGTGTTCCTAGTGCGAATAAAGACAGTGATTGCGTATGTAAACCCTACATTTTGGCCATTGAACTCGAACCAAAGCTAACTTTTGTAGATTGTGATGTGATACCCCGGGCTCCGTTCCCTTTTTATCCAAGCACTTCTGGCTGTCTCCGTTCGAATTGCATTTCCCCTACTTTCTATAATCTCGGGGTTTCAAAAAGTTTTCGCCGTCCGAGAGGCGAATGGTCTCAATGGGTCTCCTCCTTGTTTCCACATAACTGCATTTGCACCCATTTCGTTTCTGCCTTGAATTTTTTTTTCCCCCTGGACATATTATCATTCGGTTTGTAAGTTTGGGCATGAATTAGATATCAGGAGTAGTTATGAATTTATTGTTCGTTTCTGAAAGCTCAAGCTCCAGTTGTAGTGTCACTTCTTCCACGTGAGGTCCACGGGGGTGAACTTCATCTACTGGGCAACTCAGTACAGCATCTTTCCATCCATTACGCCATGGCTCCGCGTAAGCCCAAGAGTGATGCATCTGCCGGAGATGATGGTTAGATATTCTCTTGATCAAACCCTCGAGGCTGACTGCTAACCTTGTCCGCAAAGATGCTTCAGTGATTCGGGAATACCTTCGTGAGTATCCAGACAGTATCCAGACAGTATTTGGACCTCGACGTATGTTTGCTTAATGACTTACTCGACGGGGTTGCAGGTCAGCAAAAGTATGTTGGCTCTGATGGGTTGTTTCTATACTCGAAGCGGTGGCTAACGTCGCCCGACGCAGTCGTCCATATTCGGTTCGCTTCCTCTTCTGGACAGCCCTAGGAACAACCCATTGACCAAGCATTTAGGCCATTGATGTTTCTGCAAACCTTCACAACAAAGTGACCAAAAGTGAGTCTACTTCTGTGAGCTAACCTATGCTTCCCTAATATATATGGGGTTTCTAGCGCAAGCCGCAAAGGTTCTCCGGGATTTGCATGAGAAGAAAGAGATTGAAGGAAGAGTTTCTGGTAAGTTGGGTATACTTGTAGTACGAGACATACTAAACCAAATTACGTATAGGTAAACAGACAGTCTACCATGCTCTACAAGATTCGTCGGACATCACAACCCCGGAGGTAGCCGCGGCTATGAAGGTTAACATCGAAAGCCTCGAGGATGAGATTTCAACTCTAAAGGCAAACGAAAAGAAGGCCCGAGCAGCATTAGCAGCCCTGCATGCAAAGCCCCGGATATCCGATCTCCGGCAGGACATCGGCCGTCTTGAGGCGGAGGAATTGACGATCCAAGCTCGCTTGGCAAGTCGCCACGAGGGCGACCCCGTTCATATATCACCAGAGGAAAGAGAAAAGCTCGAAAAAGAATGGAACTATTGGCAACGACATGCCAATGTGCGCCGTCGGATCTGTCGTGATCTCTGGGGACAATGCTCCGAGGTACTTCCGGAGGACATGACTGCGGGGGAGCTGTGGGTGAGTTTTGCGAGTGATGAATGACATAGCCCATTCAATCCTCTGGAATTCTGACAAATGTTATCAGGAATCTTTGGGGCTTGAAGGAACGCTCCAATAAAAGGTCATCGCGGAGTGGTGATCTTTTCTAGTCCCCACTCGGGTCACATCATTTGACACCTACAACATTGTCGTATAATACGAGAGCTACAGAAAAGGCTTTTAGGGCTGTGTATTCTATTTCCGACGAAGATCTGATTCGGTATGCAAAAGCTATATGGAATGGAGGCAACGGGGGGAGGCGAACCGTAATCGGACAATGTCAGGCTGTGGTGAGATTGTATAAGATAATGGTGTTATTTATTATATTAGTTTTTAAAATGGACTTTCTCTTTACAATTCTTACAATTCCTATTCCTACACTTATCCTACAATACAATTCACAACTTTTTCTCGAGTGTGAATCATTGATCTTCCCCACCGCCCGCCGAGCCTCTCTCTCTTTCCCCTCTCCAATCTCCAACCCCTCCCACTTCTCCCATGCAGGTGTCTACTCGTCCTCCGTCATCTCGTCGAGCCAGTCATTCAGAGATGAGAGGTCGTGCGCCTCTTCCGGTTGCTTCTGGGGCACCCCAGAATGGGCATTCTCGCAATCCATCGGGACTTGACGTGGCCCGCAGCCCGCCGAATCAGAGCAATAAGAGTAAGTCACTCGATTCATAATCAGTGCAATGTCCGAGATGCGAGCTAATCTTTTGTCTAGACACCAAACATGTTCCTTGCAAATTCTTCCGCCAGGGTGCCTGTCAGGCCGGTCCCGCTTGTCCTTTTTTACACTCCACCGATGCCGGAATTGACTACGCTCCTTGCAAATATTTCGCAAAGGTATGAAATTGGCACTGTATTGAAGTTTCTCCCTTCGTTGCGCGTTTTCCGAGACTATCGGAAGTTAACGGGGCAATGGTTTTAGGGAAACTGCAAGTTCGGCGCAAAATGCGCGCTAGCGCATATCCTACCAGATGGACGGAGAGTCAACCGGCCGACTGGAAACATGGGAATAGGAAGCGGCCACCTCAATCTGGGCGGCCGGGTGAATCCGCAGGCCTATGTCAACCAGGACTCTGCCTTGACCAACTCGGTGCTCTCCCAACAGCGCATGAACGGCCACGAGCAGCCTCGATATGCCCCGCAGCTGGCCCCGCAGGAGGAGTATGGATCTCTGCACGGGCAGCAACAGCCATCCTATGATGGAATCCCCACGATCGATACGGGCCTGGCCTCCGATGCCGGTTCCAAGTATGGATCTCCCGCAGAAGATGTCCGATATCCCATGTCACCTAATAACAACCACCTCAGCGCTCTCGATGCGGGGCTCCCGGCTTCGTTCGACAGCCAAGGTATCTCTCATGCTGCCCGTTACGGTCCGGTGGCTGCTTCCATGCCCTCGCAATTTGGATTGGAATCGCCGCCACCCCAGAGGCTAGGACAAGCAGATGTATTCCGAAACCTGCGCGACATCGGCTATGGTACCAGCCTGCGCAAGCCTTCATCGAACATCGGATCTTCTCCTCCCGCTCCCGAAGATACAGTCGGCACCCGGTTCATGCATTCATCGCGCCCCGTCAAGCCACGCATGCTTTCCGCTAGTGTCCCTCGTCCCATGGCGCTTGAGGACTGGGATGAGAACTTCCCCATGGAAGAAGATTACCTACCAGTCAACCTGCACGACGATGTTCTGACTCCGCAGGAAAAGTTGCGCCGCCTCTCCCGAACTGACAACGACCTAAGCTCCAGCCATCGCGACATCAGTGGCCTTGGCATGACCAGCACCAGCTTTTCCAAGACTGGTTCTCCCCTAGCGTCCAGTCCGTCTCGATTTGGTGCATTGTTTGCCAAGCAGCGCCAGCGCAAGGAAGAGGAATCCCATGGCTCTTCCTCTTTCCACATCGGCTCTCCTCTCCGAGAATCATCACTGAACCCAATCACCAGCCCTAATCTGGGACCCATTGGCAGTAGCCGGGCATCCCACGAAGGGTCGTCATTCCTCTCGAGCCCTGGACGTCAATCCTCAATGTCGATGATTTCTGAGCAGCTCGGTGGCATGGGCCTTCACCCTGGTTCTGCTCGCCAGCCGCCTGTCGGTCCTAGCGGCCGCCTTGACCGAGTCATCTCTCCTCCTGTCAACACAAGCAAGATTGAGGAGGAAGAGCAGAGTGACCTAGTCTTCGACATGGAGGAAGAGGTCGGCAACAAGCGAAACAGTGCCTCATGGAGTGAGAACAAAGAAAGTTCCTCCTAATCTGTGCCCAACCAATTTCACCACGATGCGTCAAAGTCCAAGTCCTTAGGACATGTTCATATTCACCAACAACACAGGAAAAGGGTATTGGAGTTCAATTGGACAACATACATCAAAGAGACAAAATAAAAGGAGAGTTCAAGACAATACATCCTTTTCTCTCTTCGAGTGAGAATATTTGGTTCGGCAAAAACAAAAGGCGACAAAAAAACAAACTTCACATCCTTCCTATCATAGACTGGCCCTCAGCATCATCTGCCTTGTTTTATTCCTTCATTTGGAATCATCTAGACCAGTCATGTGTTTCTCATTGGGCTTTCCGACTTCTCTGAACAGCCATTTACTGTATTAATCTCTGCCCTTTCTTTGTTTTCATTCGTTTCCATTTCTGGCACTGTACCTGGGTTGACATATCTCAACTCCTTTTTTTTTCATATCTGCTTTTGTTTCATGATTTCACGACCACTGCGATCTCTGGTGTTTCTTGGGTGCTTTCTTTGTCTTCTTGTTCTTTGTCCCCTACTGTCGGAACATGTGGTCTTGATTCTCAGGGCTGCAGACATGTACAAACTGGAGATGTGCAAATAAACAATTCCTTGATACTTTTGTAATCCTTCGGTAGATAATCATCTCGTAGATATCTATTTAGTATGTGATTTTCTTGATAAGCGAATAGATATATATAGAATCAATATCTCCCGGTCAGGACTAACATTAAGCTATAGACAAAACCAATATATTCTTATTGACATGTATGATTTACCAGCCAGAGTGTATGAACGAATAAAATAAGAATCATTCCATGTTCTACCTAATCATACACATTCCTAAAGTAAAACAGACGCCTCGAAGATTACGCCCTTTGGAACCGAATCATGAAACCACGCCAATATGCCCACCTTTCTTCTAACTAAGCCTCATCCAGGTACAAAGCAGTACCCTTCAAATTGACCAAGCCCTCCGTCGCAGATTGAGCCTGAATATGCTGCGTCTGTTCCATAGCACGGCGATCTGCCAAAGCACCACGCTCCCGCGTTCCATCAAGATCCATGACATCACCATCCCTCGTCCGAGTGATATACCCGTAGAGCTGATCTGTACCCTTCACGACGCGCTTCACCAACGTCTCAAGCGCCTTACCAGTAAGCGCATCGGCACGGCCCGTAAGCTCAACCTTCACCTCAGCGCGCTGGCGCTTCGCAACGCCATCACGTTCCGTCTTCTCGTCGGCCAGCTTGCGCTTCCTCTCCTCGACCTTCTTCTGGTGCTCCTCCTTGGTAGCGAGATACTTGAGTGAATGACCGAGCTTCTGCGTAGAAGGCGGGATGAAGTCTACCGGCGGCGTGGAGAAGAAGAGCACGCGGCCATGGTCATCGCAGTGGAATTGCTCGCGGATGTCTTCTGGGATGGCAGCGTTGGCTGCGTCGCTCAGGTGGAAGACTTCCACGGGCCGCGGTGCGTTGGGGTTATACACGGCTAGCGGGGCTTGCATGCGGTTTTGGGGGTAGCCGGCGTAGGGAGAAGCCTGAGCCGTTGAGTATGGCTGGGCCGCTGGCGAGGTCTGGTACGCGCCTGCTGATGTTTGCGGGGTGGCGAGGTTGCTTGTGCGGCGTTGGAGGGATGCTGTAAAGGCTTGGGATGGGGTCATTTGGTGGAAGCCTGGTGGGCGAACGGGAGCAGGAGTGGTGTGTATGATGATTGGGGGTGCTGGGGAACGTGTTTGGAGTGCAGCAGTGCCTGGGCTCATGGCTGATCTGGGGAGCGCTTGGCTCAGGGATTGACGAGGTGCTACAGACTGGGGTAAGGAAGGAGGAGGCGGGGATGGAGTTGGCTCGGGTGGTGGGGATTCCTAATGTTGTCAGCTTTCCAGGATCTTTTCTCATGTTGCGGCCAATACTTACATTCTCATCTCGTGGACGGCGGTGAACAGCACCAACAACAGGGGGTGCATTGTCGGTTCCCCAGGTCGGCCGAGGAAGGTCATCGGTCTCCTTGGCATCCTCCTTTAGAAGATGTTTGATCGGACTGGGAATTTTCTTGATCTTGCGTGGTACATCAAAGAGATCCATCTCATAGTCTTTCTCTCGCACTTCATCTGGCAGACAGCTGGCCCATGTCTTGATCTTGTTCAACTTGTGTTTCTCCTCATTGTAGCGAGCTTCGCACACGTAGATTTCCTTATCCGGTGCGAGATCTCTTGGGCGACCACGGCTGTAACGGGTGAAGAACATAACGAAGCAGCGATCGACAATCTCATCAATCCGGTGGTCTCGGTATTGCCCAGTCTTCACAACCTCGTTGGGGTAGAAGTGCTTCTCGAAGTGATGCACTGTCTGCTCAGGACGGTAATACCAACACGCGTTAATCCATTTTTCGCCATCAGAGTCCTGCCAGGTTCGGTAAATCTGTGCAACGATGGGCTTGGTCACATCGTTTTGGTTTTGGATATGAACCCAGTCGCCAACCTTCCACAGTTCACCGCGGTGGAGGATACCATCAGGGAGTGGGAAACGTCCATCTTCCATCAAGAACTCACTATCCGGCTTCTTCTTCTCTTGCTCGGCCAACTTTCGTGACTCGGTTTGCAAGTCAACCGCATCCTTGAAGATCTGACTGTCGGACTGGTTATAAGCCTTGGCATTTTCGAACATGAGATCAAGATCGCGCATGAAATGGTCGACGGAGTTGTACTTCTTGCGCTTGGACTTGCGCTTGATAATGTCGATGGCGATGGGTTCCTTGATCTCCATGTAGTAATCCGGATAAGCAGCTTTGTCAGGGAGGCGTTCAAAATGTGTGATTTTCAGGTGGCCACCGGCACCCTTGAACTTCCGAATTCCCTTTAGAATTGTCTTGATGCGGATTTCCATAGGTGTATCCACGCGGGGAGGACGGCCTCGTTTCTTGCGAAGGTCGGGTTCATGCTTTTGAGTCAATCCACGCTTGAACCCGGGCTTGGGACCGGGCTTCTTCCTGCGCCGGCCCTCATCTTCAGAGTCGTCCTCCTCATCTTCCTCCTCCTCCTCCTCTTCCTCATCATCGTCGGGTAGAGGATCGGCCTCTGGGATCTCTCCAAGATCGGGCAGTTCTGCCTCATCAGCGGGGATCGCGCCCTGGGCGGCTAATTTTCTGAACTCGGCGGCGAAAACTTCCTGGGAATTGTTAGTTGAATGCCTAGGGTGGCCGGGTTTGCTCAAACATACCCTGATAACCAGCGCATCTTCGTAGGCCTGCGATCTAGGCCTGTTGTATGTTTGCGCATTGTGGGGGATCTAGATCGTTAGCTAGTTGCAAACCTACAGGAGCGCAACCACTCACCAAGGCGCAATCGCGGACAAATTCGGAAAAGTGCTTATATTCCCGTTTGTTGATGCGCGCCTTCAAAATACTCAGGGCCATCGGCTCCTTGATGATGTCGTAGTAGTCGGGAACATAGCGCTTGTTGACACTGCGATGGAACAATCGCGACGGGTCATGACCACTGCGCAAGGTAACAATTAGCCAGCAATCACTGTATATTTCGAGGGTCAATCGTACTCCTCTTCTCGGTAATCATAAATTGCCATGACCACATCCATCATCAATTTCCATGTTTCGCGGGTGATCGCACCGTCATTCTCGATGGAGTTGACGGGTTGTTCACGCGGGGGTTGCGATAGCTCTTTCTCGGACTCCATGTCGTTGGCGACAAGCGCGTTTCCACGCAACGGTAAATTTTGGCAATGGGGATCAAAGAAATTGAAGCAAGTAAGCCAGAATTTAGATAAGACAGCAGGGAAGCCCTGGAGAGGTCGGAGAATGTTTTACGAGCGCGTGAAGCTATTGCTGACTCATCGACAATTTTACGTTACGGTAATTTCATGACAGCGGTCTTTCAATATGTATTTTCATGAGTGTCTTTGGATTCGATCATGTTATTTTTACTTGCATCCTTATGAGAATTTATGTTATAGCTGCCTACCATGGCTGGGGCTGAGGTTGTTCACTCAGACCAACGTACTTTCAATATACATAGCTCTGTAAGGCTGTGGTTGCTATGATTAGCTTGGTATCCGGGTGGTATCACCCTGTTTGCAGCATCCTTTGCGACTTCAGTGTCTTGGATATGAAGGAACAGAAAACTGAGTGATAAGCCTCAACTCTTCTCAGGGGCTAAATAGGGGAGTCTTATACCATTTGGCTTGCATCCCAGACTGCAGGTATACTTCAGGTATACCCCACACGGCAAGTCGTCATATCTTCCTATCAGTGGAACTTCGAAGGTTTCTAAGATCGCCCACCTCACAGTTTACAACTGCCTCATTACTTTATCACACATAATGAGAATTCGAATCCGCGGGCCTTCGGGTCAGTCAACTGTTACCCTGGACGATTCCGCAACCATCAAAGATCTCCAAACCCAAATTGCAGAGAAGACCGGCCTTGCTACCTTTGACGTCAAATATGGATACCCTCTCAAACCACTTGAGCTTGACAGCTTTCAACAAGACCAAAGGCTCTTGGAAGTTGGGATACATTTGAACGGAGAGTCACTCATCGTCGCACAGAAAGAGGGTGCCACCCGGGGCGTGAGCGACGATGCACCAACAGCGCCACCACAACCATCACCATCACAGCCATCAATGTCACAAAGACCACAAGAGAACACCGCCGAAGACCCGCCAGAAATTCCCTCCCCAGAACATGCTGGCACGTTCGTTCTCCGGGTGATGCCTGATGACAACTCCTGCCTTTTCCGAGCAGTGGGCGCTGCAGTCATGGGCGATATGGATACAATGGTTGAGCTACGATCGATCGTTGCAGGAGCTATTCAATCAAATCCAACAGAATATACAGCAGCGATTTTAGGCAAAAAACCGGACGAATACTGTACTTGGATCCAGAACGAGGACTCGTGGGGTGGCGCCATCGAGCTCAAAATCCTCAGTGAATACTTCAATATCGAGATATGCTCCATCGATGTACAGACTTTGAACATGTTCCAGTTTAATGAGGGAGCACCAACGCGGTGTATTGTGGTGTATTCGGGGATCCACTACGATGTCCTTGCGTTGTCCCCCTCTCGCCCGCCCTACACTCGTGCCAACCCCCTGCCGCATGACGATACAAAGATCTTTGAGGCTGTTGACCCAGTTGTTTTGCAAAAGGCCAAAGAATTGTGCCGGGTGTTGCAAGGCAAGCACTATTACACGGACACTTCTGGATTTACTGTTCGCTGCAACGTCTGCGGAGGCACATTCACTGGGGAGAAGGGCGCTGCGAAGCATGCCGCGGAGACTGGGCATTACGATTTCGGAGAGGCGAGCTAGCATTGCATATAGATAGATAAGGATATTGCCGGATTGTTTGAAGTCATATGAAGGCTGCTTCATTGTCATGAATAAAGTGGTAGGCTGTATGGCATAAACCGATCTCACATATCGTACAAATAATCTTGGGTCTCATCTCATACCATGGCAACTTCATCTGCATCATCTTCCTCCTCATCTTCTCCTGATTCCGCGCTTTCTTCTGGGTTGCCTCCCCATTCTACATCATGGTGCACAGGATCTGTGAAGAATTCATGCTGCAGGGCGTCTGCGGCACTGAGTCGCTTAGATGGATCCAGTTCCATTAGCCCAGACAAGAGGCGTGTTGCTTGCTGCTCGCTTTCCGTCAAATCTTCTACACAGCTAGACCATTTCACCAGCTTCTCCCAGCTGTAGCCTTTCTCGCCGATGGTTGGAATATTTGTTTCGAAAATCTGTCCATGCATGACCGCGGCGGCCTTCATGCGTCGGGTGCCGAAGATGCTTGACATTTCGATCATCGCATCAATATCGTCGGCAGAGTTGAAGAAGGGGAACCGACGCCCCAGCAGAGTTAAAAGAATGACACCAACTGACCATATGTCAATCTTCGTGGTCTGTGAGGTGCATTTGAAGAGAACTTCGGGGGCTCGGAAGCCTCTAGTTCCAGCGCGGTTTGCTCGTCGTGATGGCCGTGAATCATTCTTAGGGTAGCCGGCTGAAAATCCCGTGGATGGGGGATTCTTGGAGTAGTAGCTTGAGAGGATTCGGCTTCGCCGGACATAGTTTTGGTGAGTACATAGACATGGGCTGGTGTATTCTGAACCTTGGCGCTGTTTTGATAGTCAGTAAGCGCATCAACATATGGTAGCCATGAATCATACCTCTGCAAGTCCGAAGTCAACCAGGACGCCTTCTTTCAGCTCTGGATTGTAGAGGAAGTTGCTAGAAGACATTAGCATAATCCAGGTCACCGAGAGTGGCACACTTACGTCGGCTTGATATCACGATGAAGGATATCATGTTCATGTACAGAGTTCAAGGCGGTCATGAGGGATCGTAGATAATGGCGCATGTCTGCGACCATGAATGTGCGGTATTGAATGCGAAAGTCGGTATGGGGGAAGTAGGGCAACACAGCGACCACTTGGTCCTGGTATCGGAAAGCAGTAATCAGCGGGCAGACAGACCCGCATCCTCGAAGATCGTGCAGTAGCTCCAGCTCGTTCTGAATCCGCAGCGGGCTACTTGTGACATAGATCTTCTTCAATGCGACGAATTTCGCTTTTTTCCGTCCAGCTGGCTCGCCTTCAACTCGTCGTCGTTTGGATGGAGGCTCTGGATAGTTGTCTTGGGCTGGTGTTGAGATATCCCAGTCGTTTTGGTGTGCATCGTAATGAAGGTCCTCTGCTTTGTAGACCGTGGAAAATGTACCTATTATGCCTGTCAGCAAAGAAGCCCACCAGATAACGATAGCACCAGGCATACCTTCTCCGATCCTATTTACCAGACGAAACCGATCCGAGATTCCTGGGAATGTGTCCTCGAGCTTTCTCATATCCTCTCTGACCGATTCGTCCACCTCTTCGTCATAGTCACTCTCCTGGGGTGCATCGCTTTGTGAAACTGGTTCATCATCCTGTCCCAACGAGTATTTCGATTGTGCCTCTTGCAAGGAGCTGTTGCGCTTTAGCTCAAATACGCCCGGGGCAGCGCGAAGGGCCGACATGGTCGCACGGAAGACAATGAGAAGTTTATAGATTGAGCCTATCCAGTAATGAAGTGGAAAAACAAAGTCATAAGATCGTGTCGCGTGTAGGTCAAGAACGTTCTTTAATGTTTATCGCAAACATAACAATTACCACGCGGTGACAAAGGTGACAATACAATCGCCTGGCAGATCAATCAATACAAGGCGGTAAGAGAGGGGTTTGAGGGGTTTGCAGCACTAGCGGTAAAATATGACTACGTGCTTACATAAGTTGGACCAAAAAGGGCAAAAGCTAAACAAACGGAGCTTATCAACAAATTGGCTTTCCTCCCCGCTTTCACATCCTTTTCTCTTCCTAACCACAATGGAGGATAGAATCCAGTTCAACATAAATGAGTCACTTAAGTATTACTTGAGTGACCCTGCTTCGATTCCGACTCCTGATGCGGACCCGGAATTGCTGGATTGTGAATCGGATCCTGATCAACTTTCGCCAGCGCTGATTGACGGCATATTGAACCCGATCGTGGATGCCGTGGCGGAGAACCCTGAAGGAATAACGCGAGCATCATTATTTGACTCGTTACAATTTTTGCTAAAGTGCGCCCCGGTCCCTTCCCAACTTGCCCACGGAGGCTGGCGCCCGCCTGGACTCGAATCTGACAATCCTTTTCACTCTTGCAGATACGCGACCCTTCTTCCCGCAAAGTATTTGAGCAAACTTTTGGATTTGGTTGTTTCTGGTCTGTCTGTCGAGGCAGACATCATCCATGGAGATCTTGAGTCCGACGAGCAAGATGCCATTCAACACCATAAGCAGCTTCTGGAGATGTACGGATTCCTTCTCCAGTGGGCCTTATCTGCCGTAGAGGTTAAGGCCGCAGAGAAGCCCACTGAAGCAGCACCCGTGCGACGAGGAGGACCCAAATCTAAGAAATCCGCCAATAGTGGCCAGTGGGATTGGACGCCACAGATCCAAATATCCATGGAGACCATGTGCAAGGTGATGAAGCTCAAACTAGGACGCATTTTTTTGACAACTTCGGATCGTGACACTTTTATTACCCTATTCACGCGCACAATCTACCTGGTCCTTGAGAGCGAACAGCGGGTGAAGAGCATGGCCATCCGCATGCATGCTTTCAAAGTTCTTTGCATCGCAGTCAAGCATCATGGCCAGGCCTTCGGTAGGTGTCCGGATGCATATCCCGGTTGAGCGATAACTGACCTTTAGTATAGGAGCTCAAACTTCGATCGTGCAGAGCTTGACTTATTTTGAACATCTCTCCGAACCCATGGCCGAATTCCTCCATATCTTGGCCGACCAATACGACTATCCACAGCTTTCCGACGAGATTCTGAAGTGAGATTATACCAGCGAACTGGCGGGATAGTTGCTAACCCTACATATAGGGAGCTCGGAAACAAGGAGTTCAATTCTAATGATACGAGAGGCCCCAAGTCTGTCTCGACATTTATCATCAAACTGTCTGAGCTTGCGCCCAGATTGATCATTAAGCAGATGACCCTTCTGGCTAAACAGCTAGATAGCGACGTATGTCACACTTTCAGTTTTCCCGAAGCTGCACTAACAACTTTAGGCATATACTCTCCGATGTGCAGTGATCGAGGTCTGCGGAAACCTCATTTCCGACCTCAGCCGACAGGAAGAACGCAGTGATAATTATAAGACCCAGATTAACGCTTTTTTCGACGTACTAGAAGAAAGATTCCTTGATATCAACCCTTACTGCCGTTGTCGCGCGATCCAGGTATTCATGCGAATCTGTGACCTGGAGCAGAAGTTCCCGAAGAGGCGACAGGCTGCAGCCGAACTCGCTGCCAGAAGCTTGGAGGATAAGAGCAGCAATGTGCGACGCAACGCGATCAAATTGCTGTCAAAACTTGTTTCCACACACCCTTTCAGTGTTATGCATGGTGGGCTCCTGTCATACAAGGATTGGACGGATAGACTGGACGCGGTTGACGCCGAGTTGAATTCCCTACGTCCTCCTGAAACACCCGGCTTTGGGGCAGGCGATATGACTCAGGTTGACGCCGAGTTGTTGGATGACGCCACGCAGATCCCGGATGATTCTCCATCTAAAGCGCCTCGGATGAGTGATGAAGAGAAGGCCATTGCTGTGCAGAAAGCCGCAGAGCAGGCGGCTACTTCTGAATTGATGACACGCCTCCAACTGACAAGGAAGTATTACAACGAGGCCATCCGGTTCATCGAAGTGCTTCACTCCGGATCCACCATCGTTACACAATTACTTTCATCCCGGAACAAGAGTGAGGTTATTGAAGCCATGGATTTCTTTGTTGTTCTCGATGCCTACAAGATTGAGACCGCCCGCAGTGGGATTCGCCGTATGCTGCGCCTGATTTGGACCAAGGGGAATAGCGACGAAGGAAAGGGCGTCCAAACACATTTGATTGATTGTTACAAGGGCCTCTTCTTCGATGCACCGGGGTCTTTCACACCCAACGATGCTGCAAACTACATCGCCCGCAACATGATCAGTTTGACATTTGGTGCAACTCCCGCAGAACTGACCTGCCTTGAGCAGTTGCTTAGCACGATGATGAAGGCTGGAAACGTATCCGAGGCAGTCATCGCCAAGCTATGGCAAGTTTACAGTATTCAGAGGAAGGAAATATCACGAACTCAGCGCAGGGGTTCAATCATTGTCCTCGGAATGCTTGCCTTGGCAGATCCTGAGGTCGTGGTGAAAGAGATTGAGGCTATGTTGCGTATCGGTCTGGGTGGATTAGGAAGGGCCGACCTTGTGCTCTCTAAATACACTTGTATTGCTTTGCGGCGCATGATCCCCGGGCGTCAAGCCAAATCAAACGAGGTTGTTGGCATTCCCAAACTCGCCAGCGACCATTCTGTTTTGGTCAAGCTGGTGGCCATGCTTGAGATCGAGACAGCCAGCAAGGAATGGTATGGAGTGGCAGAGCACGCGCTCAACGCCATTTACACTTTGTCCAAGCATCCCGACGTTCTTTGCTCTGATATCCTCAGACGAAAGACGAGATTCGTTTTTGCACCACACCTTCAACAACGCGCACCTTCCTCCCATGCATCTGTCAACGGAGAAGAGGAGCAGGAACGACCTGGGACCGCATCCACTGAAGGCCAGGAATCCAAGCCCAAGCCAGCATCTGCTGCGCTCTCGCAACTGCTGTACGTCGTTGGTCACGTTGCAATCAAGCAGATCGTACATTTGGAGCTGTGCGAACTTGACTTCAAACGCCGCAAAGTTGAACAAGAGAAGAACAAAGCAGCCACTGCTCCCCAAAA